GTAGTATAAATCATGCCATGTTTATAGGGTTGTTACAACAACCCTATAAAAAAAATCCATGTCACAGTGATAGGCCAAATGAAAGTCCTCGGGGCTGGGGGTGTGGCTCGGTGGCAGAGCAGGTGCCCAGCAAGCACAGGCCAAGTTCAACCTCCAGTACCACCAAAAACCAAACCAAAGTAAAAGCTTGATCATCACCGCTCAAGCGCAATGCTGCTGACATCCCTCTCTGCCCTACCCCTCTTTCTGCGAAGGACACCCTTCTTTGGGGGTCCTGTAGTTGAAGGGTCCCACACGCTGGGGGACCCATCGCATCCCTGCACAACCGGAGTTCGATCCCCATGACCTGGGGACTGGTGCCGAGAGGCTCAGGACACCAGACTCCAGCCTGAGCCTCCAAAGAGGTTGCAGGCATGCAAAGCTTGCTTCCCACTGGGCTGCTAAGTGGAAGCACAATGTGGCTGGAGATCCTGGGGCTGTCCCACCACCACCGGAACAGCCTGTCCAAGATCCAGGCCAGCAAGGGAAACCAAAGCAAGATGGAGCCGGGGCTTGCTGGGGCTGGGAGCCCACCCTAGACTCCTTATTCTTGAGCTGACAGTCTCCCTTTCCACACAGGCCAGTGGGTAGTCGAGTTGGGGTCTTGGGCTTGCCAGCCTTCAGGAACTATCTGCCTCTTCTCTGGAAGGGTGAAAGGTGACAGTAGGGACAGTCTTGGGATGTGCCATGGTTTCAGTGTCTCCTGTAGAATTCACATTGTGGGCTGGGGGCATGACCCAAGTGGCAGAGCGCCTGCCTGAGTTCACACACCAGAACTGACATTTTGGTAATACCATCTGAGCTCTAGCACTTAAGCCACACCCCAATCTGTTTGATTTTCAGATATCTCTTGGTCCAGGCTAGCTTCAGACCTCCATCCTCCTACCTCTACCTTCCACGCAGCTGGGATTCTACGCATGCATCACCACACCTGGCTCATGATGAAATGTAATTGTCATCAGACAGGCATGGTGGTTTATGCCTGCAGTCCCAGCACGTGAGAGGCTGCAGCATGATGATCACTTGAACCCAGGAGTTCAAAGCCCGCTTGGGCAACATAACACAGCGAGACCACATTTCAACAAACAAACAAACAACCTGGGTGTGATGGTGCACACCTGTAATCCCTACACTCAGGAAGCTGAGGCAGGAGGATCATGAATTCCAGGCCAGCTTTGACTACACAGAGAGTTCAAGTCCAGCCTGGGCTAAAAAATGAAAGGAAAGGAAGGGGAGGAGAGGGGGAGGAATGACCAAATGAGGGAATTTAAAATTGTCACAGTGTTAAGAGACGGGGCAGGGCCTCTAAGAAGTGAGTAGGCCATCTCGGAAGAGAGAGGGTTGGCACACCGTGAGTCCGGCCCCTCGTGCTCTGCTCTTTCATACTCATGCAATTGCCTGTCTGCCCTTAGAAGGCCCCTTCAGTGCCCCCCAACCTGAGAAGAAACCCCCAAAGCAATCCACCTCCCTTCCTCCAGAAGCCCCAGATGTGAACCTTGGACTCAGCATGTGGGAGCAGCAGGGAAGGGAAGCAGGGGGACACACCTGTCCTCTAGGCAGTGACCGCCTCCCTGTCTGCCATATGCTAACACAGTACCACAGGTGCTGCAAGGAAACAGGCAGGGTCACTGTCCACACACGAGATGTCCTCTCCACACAGGTGAGCTGGAAACCGGAGCTCCTTCCTCCACCCAGTCCTGACCTGGGGGGATGGGGTGTTGTCTGCCAAGTCACCTTCCTAGCAAGTGACCCTGAACAGGTACTGCCAGCACCCTGCTCACTTGCCGCATGAATGACGTTCAGAGGCCAGGCCTCTCAAGTGAGGTGGTGAAGGATGGATGTACCCACAGGCAGCAAGGATGGAGAAGCTCTTTGGCTGATGGGAGTGAGGAATCAGGGCACTGGAGACTTGGGGGACAAGTCTGAGCTACCTTGGAAGACCCAAAGATAGAGCAAACTCTGTCAAAAGCAAGCCTTAAGTCCCAGCAAAGCACTGGATTCCTGGGCTCCTCAGTTCCCCTGTGGGAACTGAGGGAGCATGGCAAACTGTGGAGTAAGCTAAGCAGACACTGTTGGAGAGGGCAGGGAGAAGAAGTAGGTGAGGTCAGGGCCAGACTTCCAAAATCCTTTTCTGCTGTGCAAGAAGTTCAGACTGCATTCCTCAGCAATGGGGCTCTTAAGGGGTGTTTGTACCAAAGTGCCTTTGGTTTTTCCTCAGTATCACGTGGGGTGGGACAGGAAGACCAGCCTGGGCAGCTCGGAGGGCTGCGGGCAAGGCCACCATTCAGAAGGTGAGCAATGTGGGCAGCGTGGACCCACAAAACTCTCCTGCCTCCCCCTCCCCCTCCTGCTTCGCCCCTGTAGGGGCTGTGTCCCCCTGCAGCTACTCAGGTATACAGAGAGATGGGAGAGTCCAGCTGTGTGCAGCATGGTGAGGCCTAGCAATCATAATGAGGCTTAGAGTCAATGAATGACAGTGAGTCTTATTAAGAGACCTGGCAAAGCCTGTGGGGGGCGGGGGAGAAGAGACAGAAACCCGAGCTAAGTAAACTTTCGAGGCCCCCACTATGGCACCAGGCAAGCAGCTGCTGCTCTCCAGCCACTGCCTGTGCTACCCTCCATGTCTAAACAAAGAGCCCAGAGGACAACTGAGAGCATGTGACTGCCTAGTGCAGGGAGGAAGAGGCACCTGGAATGACAAAGGTAGGCGCATCAGTGAATGCTGGGCAACAGTGACCTACCTGGAAAGGAAACGAGGCCCATATGTCATACCACACACCAAAGTAAGATATGGCCAGATTGGAGGTAAATGTACAAATTAAGCTAAAAAGGCACAGAGGGAGTCAAGGTGTGTATAGCTCAGGGGGGGAAATGCTTTTCTAAATAGAAAGCAAAGGAAATCACACAGAAACATTTAAAGTCATTCCAGAAGAAAGATAGTGTTAAGCTTAAAAACATCTATGTGTGTCAAAAATCACTAAAATAAAAAGGAAAGCAGTTGACAAACTGGAAAATGTTTTCTGCATGTGTATGTCAGAAAAGTTAGTGTGCTTTTTATGTGAAGAAAGAACAACTAAAGTCTCAATAAGAAAAACAGAAAAGGGGCAGTAACAGCAAGCATCTCCAGAGCGCTCCCACACCCCTAAATGCACTTTTTAAATTTAACCTCACAGCCCTGTGAGGTGGGAACAATGGTTACCTCATTTCCTGGATGAGAAACCGAGGCTCAGGTTAAATTACCCGCTAAAAATCACATTGTCTGTGCTGGAATCTTGGAGCCCACCTGACACCAAATCCCATTCTCTAAATAGAACTGTTCCAAATCAAAGAGCGAAATTATAAATGACCATTTCCATTTTATATATCTATGTGTAAAATGTAGATACTCTATAGGGCTCTATAAAGAATATTCAGAATATACTACATAACCTATTAGTAATGAATATGTAGTCTATACATGTATGTTAAAGTTTGCTGTGATCAAAGATCATTATAATTTTTCCTGTCAAATTGACAAAGATCTCTCTCTCTCTTTGTGTGTGTGTGTGTGTGTGTGTGTGTGTGTGTGTGTGTGTGTGTTGGGGATGGAACCCGTGGCCTTGTACATGCTAGCCAAAAGCTCTACCACTAGCTACACTCCCTAGTCTTTGGTTTTTTGAGACAGCATCTTACTATGTAGCCCAGGCTGCCTTTAAACTTGAAATCCTCCTGCCTCCACCTCCTTGAACACTGGGAGTACAGGTGTGTGCACCACACCCAGGGTAGGGGGTGAGAAGGAGGGCAGAGACTGGTCTCCTCCCATCTGGCTTCCTCTCTATCCCTTTGTGCCTTGTTGGGAGTGCCACTCAGCTGCTGGCCAGGGTTCCTTGTGGTTCACCTATGTTCTGCCGAGACCTTTGTAAATTCACCACTTTATAAAGAAACCCTCCCAGGATTATCTGAATTCAACTGAGTCTTCTGTTTTTTGGTGGGACACTGACTAATGAAATTGAAGTATGATTTTATTCTAGAGATTGATCTTACAAAAATAACCAGAAGAGTGTAAACAGGTGTAAGAGTATCTCTGGCAGTACTGAACCTGCAAACAACCTAAGCATTCCACAACTGGGGAAGAGTTTAATATGTCTGGTGACCCACATGGTGAAATGCTACATCGTTCAGAACTGGATCACAGCCAGGTGTAGTTGTGCACACCTGTAATCCCAGTATTTGAGAGGCTGAACAGAAGGATGGAGAATTCCAGGGCAATCTGGGCTACACAGCGAGACCCTGTCTCAAAAATACAACCCCAAAACTCAAACCAAAAAAGCAAACATCCAAAAACTTGGATCATAAAAGGATATTTAAAGTCGTGAAAATACATTTATGATATATTTTAAGTGAAAACAGCATGTCCCCTGCCATTCCAATTTTGCGTACAAAAATGACCAAAAGGATTTTCTCTAATGTCTTTTACTTGTCATACTATGGATGGTTTTGCTCTCCTTCTTTATATTATTTTGTTTTTCAGATTTTTCCACAAGATCATGTGTTCTTCTTATAACTAGAGAGACTAAATCCTGAAGGTATTACATATTTTAAAGATGGAATTGGTGGAAATTGACGGCTGAGCCCCGCACCCCGATGTGCACATGCCCCCCTCTCTCATAACCTTAACAATGGGCTCCGCTAGCCAATAATGTCACACAGCTGCTGGGGCTGGAAGCACTGTGAACCCACCGAGCCACGTGTTACAGCCACCAAGCTCCACGACAGCTCGGCACCCCAGGCCTCATGAAGTCGTGGCTCATATTAGAGAGACACGCTGTGCGAGAGATTTGGTCTTGATGCACAGGTGGACAGCAGCCTGGTAAAAACTGGTGGGAGAGAGAAGATGTGGGCAGGGAAGCAACCCTGGGGTCCTTGGCAACCCACCCTCCCCTCCCCAGCAATCAGCCAGCTCTCTAGATGAGGAAGGCTACCTGCAGTGGGTCCCAGGTCCAGACTGGAGCCATTCAGCTCCTCCTCCTCTTCCCAGAAGTACTGTGGTGGCTGCAGAATCCGGGACTCCTCGCTCTCTTCGCTAGGGAAGCCTGAGCCAGGGGCCCCCAGGCCCATGGTCTCACTGGGCTCCTCGGAATCCAGTGGCTCCAGGCCAGTGGGCAGCAGGAGGTCCAGCAGAGAGGTGGAGGTGAGGCCCTCAGGGCCAGACTCATCAGTCCCTGCTGCACATGTGCCCAGGGACACTCCTGCACAGACATAAGAGCCAATGTTAGGGGACGAGGGAGGACAAAGGTCAGCAGGCTAGGACACATCTCCAGGCATAAAAAACCTGGACACACACTTTGGTGGGCACTGCTGAACACCCAGAAGCTGCAAGAGGCCTCTGAGATGCCACTTTTATTTCAAAAAGGCCAAGCTTCTCATCCCTGCTTATGGCAGGGCCAAAGGGGAGACAGAGGGAACAACTCAGGTGAGTGAGTGTTCAGTGACTTGGCACCCACTGCACACCTCACTTGGCAGGCTCTCTGAGCCCCAGTCTGCTGGCAGCTGTGCCAGGCGCTGCAGGTACAAATCAAGCCAAGACAGAGCCCTGCTCCAAGAACCTTCTTCATGCTTGACATTGTCCTCCAAACTCTATCCTGGAGGAAACTTTCCCAAACTGTGTTAGGGACCTGATTTGCACTTCAGCTGATGTATTCTGAACAGTCTTTAAAACTTTATTCAAGGCCCTAGGTCAAACTCACCCAGAGCTGGGAATTGGACATTTCTTTAGAAACTTGGATATTCCCTCCTAATTTAGCAAAACAAAGAAATAAATGAACAAAGCAACAACAAATTAAAGGGAACCATTTCCTCTCTTTCATTCTCACTCATTAAGAACAGGAAAACAGTCTTATGCACCAATTTCATGACTTAATTACAACTTAATGACCCTTAATGCTAAGGGTCTTCTTAGAAGGTGCCTAAGACCCCTGGGCCTTGGTCCCCTCACCTGAAAGATGGGGTGCTGTAGAAAAAGCCCGCGCCTCCTTTTCCAAGTCTGACATTCAGTGATGCAGCGACAGAGGGCCCCAGAGCCTACCTCCTGCTCTAAGCTGGAATGCACTGTAACCTGGCTTGACCATGGTGCATGGAAAATTCCAGTGATGTTTACAATAAAAATATGACCTGATATCACTGGTGCCATGTGCTAAATGCTTTGTAAGCAGTATCTGAATTTTAATCTCTCCATCGCCTACGCAGTAATGGGCCCTAAGAGGGTGTTGGCCAAGATAGCTACCAGTCCTCGCAGGAAACAGTTCTATCAGAACCAGGGACCACCCGGGTTCTGTGTGAGGGGGTCTCTGCACACTATGCACCTCAGACAAACTAGGGCAAAGAGCACCAAACCCAGCTCCAGGGTTCTTCCCTGGAGTCCTGGGGCAGGTGAGTGGGAAGAAGCATGCAGAAGAGAATAAACTTGGCTTCCAGGTAGGCCCAGGCTTTGCAGAGCTGAAGCCACGCTCCCGTGTCCACATCACTGGACTCGAATGAGGGCAAAGGCGTCTCATATGCTGTGATTTCTTGCAGCCAAGATATTTAGAAGTCAAGCCATAGAAATCAGTTTGGGATCCATCTCCTTTGAAGTTCTCTTTGATCCCAGGGAGGGTGAATTAAGGATGTTGTATTCTATGTGGCCTAGAACTCCTCATGACCCCTTCTACTCAAATTCCCTTTCTCATTGTACAGGACTGTAAACTGCTGTAACCCTAGGCTGTTGGGTTTTCTCCAGTACTGGTGTTATGGGGGACGGCAGCATCGATCTCCTAACAGATGGGTGGCAAAGAGTCAGGATGACATGTCCTGCCATGAAACTACTTTCTTGAACAGTTCTTCTGTCAGGCACAGGGAGAGACCATTGTCCATGGATGGTTCCAATTAATAATGCCCAGGATTATTATTTATTATTTGCGACGTGACTCAGCTGCTCCCATCATGGGCTGCACTCTACCTTCTACTTTTCTTTCTTTCTTTTTTTTTTTGTGGGACTTGGTTTGAATTCAGGGCAACCTCCTACTTCTTGAATGTGAGCTCTCTGTGAGTCACTGTGGCCAGGAGAATGTAAAAGTGGTGATGTGTCCTCTCCAAGGTGCAGCCTTGCAGGTCTTGCAAACTCCATTCTCTCAGGACTCTGACCACACTGGCCCAGGCTAGCCTGCTGCAGAACGAGAGCCCACAGATGAGAGCTCAGTGTCTCAGCTGAAGCTCCAGTGCGGCACAGCCAGCCACGACAAGCCTGGGTGACCAGGAGCAGATATTGAACTTGAAGAAGACCAGCTGAACCAGAAGAACCAACAGCGGATCCCAGCCTACAGTGTCAGTCACAGAATCATGAGCTCCACGAATGGTTATTGTGCTAAGCCAATGCTTTTCACACCTGAGCCAGCACGGAATCACCTGGCTTATTCAAACAATGTAAGCCTCACCCCAGAGCCTTGAATCCAGTCGGTCTGGGACAAGGCCCAGGAATCTGCACTTCTAGCATGTTCTCAGATGATGCTTCTGGTCCAAGGGTCATATGTCAAGAATTGCCATCTTAAACTGCTAAATTTTGTGGTGGTTTGTTATACAGATATAGTCCACTGATGCGCTGAGAAAAATTATAAATGAAACTTTTTCAGATTGGAGTAGGGTTTGAGCAGTCAAATTCCATTTATTCATTCTTTCATCCCTCCCTCCAAAGCCTTTATTGAATGCCAACTTTGCACCAGGAATAATTCAAAGTCATGTAGATACAGAAAGAATATGGTCCTTAACCCCCAAAGACTCAGTTTCTGGCCAGGTATTGTGATGCAAACCTGTAATTCCAGCTATGTGGGAGGCATAGGTAGAATTGCAGTCTGAGGCCAGCCCAGGCAAAAAGTGCAAGACCCTATCTGAACAAACAAAAGCAAAAAGGGCGGGGCTGTGGCTCCAGTGGTCAAGCACTTGCCTCGCAAGCACAAGAGACCGGGAGGAAAATAAATCATATGGAGCAGTGTGACAGGTATTTAACTGCCTGGGTCACGGGCCAGGGACCAGGAGAGAGAGCTGAAAGGTAGCACAGTAACAGAATTACTCCAAGCACTGCACCGATGGTGCACAGAATCCTGCCAAAGAGAAAAAAGAGGGCCGGAGGAAGATGAGATTCCAGGAGACAGCAATGCTCGGAGGGGCTGGGGAACGTCCCTCCGGTTTCTGTTCTCTAGGGCAGTCTGATGCTTCCCATGGGACAAGGCCTCTAAAGCAAAGCATGCAAAATGATGGTGCTCCTGGAACGTGAGGTCCACACTGCTCACTGCTCAAGGGGACAGAGTTGGTAGGAAGGAATCGGGCTCATTCAGGGCCAGATAGAAGGGCTGCTGTCCTCAAAGCCCATTTTCTCAAGGCGCTGGCCCTTGAAAACCCACCAACTCTCGGTACTGCAGTCCTACAGGATTTTACAGGTCTGTGAGGACCCTCTAAAACTCCTTCTGCACCCATCTCTCCTCCACACTGCCCGCTGGGCCGTGCTCAGACTGGAGTGTGCATATGACAACCTGGGTTCTAGCCAGTGCTGGTGAGAGGTGTTGCCAGTCCACAGACCTCCCTTGAAACCCAGAGAAGTCTTCTAAATACTCCCGTCACCACGATGACCCCCTCTGGATCCTTCAACGTGTCAGAGAAGGCAGATGCCGTACCTCCCCTCCCCTCTCAGCAGCCACCACTGCACTCATCCGCACTCTGTGCGGAAGACAAACTGAGGTATTGTTCTTTCTAGCAGTTTCCAGAACGTGACAACCCTCTTTACCTTCCAAGTCATTGCGTGTGCCGTTCTTTCTACTAAAACATGCATATTCCCCATCTCTCCCCGTCCCACCTCCCACCTGCTAAATTCTTATTCCTGCCTCCAGCTGCAGCTTCTGAGAAGCCCTCCCTCCCTGGCCACCAGTCTGAGCGACAGACAAGTCCTGCCTATTAACACAGCCTCCTGAGCAAACTCCTGTCACTACACTTTGCTCACCCAACTGTAACAGACCGTCCTACAGCCTCCCTCGTCAATGGTGAGCTGCAGGACGTCCCTCGGCCTTGTGATACCAGGGCCAAGCAAGTTGCTGATACACAGTTGGGCTCAATGTGTGTCTTAGGGACTGGAGGAGTGGCTCCAGCGGGACAGCACCTGCTTTACAAGTGGGAAGCCCTGAGTTCAAACCCTAGTCCCACCAAAAAAAAAAAAAAGTAAAAAAAAAATATGTGTCTTAGTGAATAACAATCTGGTCTGACACCCTGCTGTAGAGATCCCACAGCCCAGTGGGATTAGGGTCAAACTGCTAGTTAATAGAAGAGCTGTAATTAGCTGCTTTCTCCCATCTCGCAGATGTTCAGGATGGAAGAACAAGACGCTGTTACAGTGGACCCTTCGCGTCTGCGGGTCTGTGGTTCTAAGGAGACCCAGTGCGGGGCTAACCGTGCGTCTCAGGGTGCATGGAGTGCAGGGCTGTGCTGCAGGTGCTGGACTCATTTCTCCTATAATGTCACCCAGCTTCCGCTAAAGACATGTCACCTTTCAACAAATCTAAAATTTTCACTTTATCACCTAAATTAAGCACATCCACTTTGACTTTGCTTTGGGGGGCACCATTTGCTTCTCGGGAAACAGATTTTCACAAAATTAAGGGCAGGGAGACACTCTGCAGATTTAAACACAATGGACTGTAACTCAGGACCGACTCTGAATTAACTGAGCTGTGCAACATGCATACAGGAATTAAAATGTTCTTGTATATGAAATTTCTTTTTTTTTATTATTTTTTCACTACACTTGGTCAGACATAAAAGAGAAAATCCAAGACAGTTCAAGTATTTTGTGGGCATTACGGACCAAGGAAAGAAGCCAGCGCTGATGACCAGGAGACACTGTTTCTGTCCAACACTATTCCCAGGGCCCCACTGTGAGTCGAAGCCAGATTCAGAGTGGAGGAATCTCTCTTCTCATAAGAGACCAAGTCGGCCAAGTGGCTCCCAGTGTGTTCACCACCTAGAACCCCTTTTATTTCTATTTCTGCATGGGGCCTATGTTTGGGAATATTTAACCTATAAAATGTCCTTATTTAATAGTTGTTTTCTAATTTTTAAAAAGTGAGTCAGAATCCTGCCTCTGGGCTATGATACCAATTAGAACTGATCTTTGGTTTTGCTGTCCTGTTGGAGATGAAATTAGTATTAGACGGTCAGTTACACAGAATCATACAGTTCCCTCCTGAGTTTCTATTCTGTGCCACATAGTGTTCCAGGTCCTCCCTGTAGATACAAAGACAAACAACAGACAGTCTTGCCTCAGGAAAATTAGTGTATTTGGAAAATGGAATCTAAATTCTATACAAAATGCCAGCTGCTATACCAGCCCAACTCTGCAGAAACAGCATCCCTAGGGCTGGGGAATGAAGATGGCAAGGAGCCAAAACACAAAAAACTAATCTGGAAAAACTCATTCGTGCATCCCAGGAAGAAAAAAAAGCCAGGTGATGAGAAATGCTTGTGATAATTACACAATGCATATTTTATAGGCTCCCAGGGAACCTGAGCAGTCAAGCTCTGGGAGGACCACGAGGCGCAAACCTTCACCCACACACGTTCCAACCATCAGCAGGTATACTGAGAAAGACAATTCCTCAGCCTGGTTCCAGAAGAATCCTGGAACCTCACCCTCACAAAACACTGCAGGATCAAACATGAATAGCCCCCAAAGCCTCAGAGATGAGCTGCAGCAGAGATAAGAGTCTGTGGCCACCAGGCTGTGGTCCAGCTCCCCAGAGCTGCCTATACCTCCAGCAAACCACTCCTGCTTAGCCAGATGAGTCTGACCAAAGGATCCCTGTTGGTTTCTCACCTGAGGAAAAGTGGCTTTTACTCAGTCAAGTCTGTGTGGAGGGCAATGGTCTGCTGTGTTCCCGGGGTCTGTACCCTGTCACTTCCATTCTCTGACCCTCTATCTCTCAGCCCTGTGGCAAGCCACAGATTCCCTCTAACACCTCTTGGTTCCTCTCTTTTCCTTTCCTTCTGGCCTGATAGGTCGGCCAAAAAAAGGGGAATCTTTTTTTCCTGGCCTTTCATTCCTTTTCTAGTAAACAGTTTCATTCTCTTCAAGTTATTTTTCTCTGGGACGACTGTTTGGTCATTATGTAAATCTGGACATTTTCAAAGGCCTTGGCAATGGGTAATTATTTAGGCAACTGAGAGGATGCTTCTTTCACACTTGCCCAGCATTCTGCATAGATTTATTTTTACACTTAATAATTAATCTGCCTCAATTGAGACTCCACCTGACTTAAAATTTCAGAATAACCCTCTTCCTGTGATTCATTTTCTTCCTCTAGAACATATAATTTTCTATTATTTCATCATCCCCAACAGAGAGGCAGAAAGAAAAAGAAGGCATAGGCAAAGGCTTAGGGGATCAGCCTCAAGGAAATCTGACCCCAACAAACTAAGAAAAAGAGGCCAGTGAGGCAGGCTGACACCTTGGGGGCTGGAGAAAACCCCAAGGCTCCATGTAACTGGCATGTTTTCTCTCACCTTTCCAAGTCAGTCCCTGAGAACTGCTCCTGGTGTAAGCCTTTTCCAATTGCCGCCAGCAGCTGCCCACCAAGCCCTCCCCCAGTCAGCAGCTTTGAAGCCCAGATCTCTCTGAGCCCTGGCAGACCCCAGCATGGGAGGTGCCGGCAGCATCTGCCACACGCACGGCTCCCACACCCTGGAGTGTCAGCCACAACAAAATACCTCTAGCACCGCCATCCAAGCACACACCTACACGCCTGTGTGCTGTATGCAACTGAGGTCCTTGCAGTGTTTCCACACAAGGTGAGTGAGACAGACACACACTCCACACACACCCCACACACGTGCCCTGCAGGCATGGAGGTAACTGTACATCATGAAGAGTGTGTGTATGTGTGTGAAGGGGGGAAGCTGCTGGCAGTGTGACCCATAACTGGCCACCAGCACATGGTCAGCTAGAGTTGGGATGGGTCCCAAGAGATTTTGCTGGAAAGTTCTGGTGTGTCTGTTCTACAAAGCAACAGCAGACCTTCTTCCAAAGACGGCTGAAGGTGTGCAAGGATACAGGCAGATTTGTGTGTCTGACGCCTGCGCCAGTGGGCATTTCTTTCTGTGCACACTACTTATATCCTTTATCCACCCTGGTGGAGAATATGTGCCCTCACTGAAGGGAGCCTTCCCAGGGCATGCCCAGGCACGCCAGGGGCCATTTTTCCTGGGGTTCTGCCATTGGGAGTGCGCTGAGGAGAGGGCCCGTCTCACTGGCACATCAAGTACAGACAGTGCCTACCCTGCCTAGAGACCCTTCCAAACCTCTCACTCACAATGGCACACGGAGCCTCTTGGTGAGCAGCACGGTCTGTGGCCAGTGTCCCCCGCCCCCCACTCCTACATTCCCACAAGCACAGGACTCTAATGTGTCCTGGAAAGGGACAGTCGGGGCCACCACGGAACCCCCACGCACACTCATTCCCGCGCCAATCCTACCTGAGCATCTCCCAGCCCGCTCTCTGCTAAGCCGGCCCGTGGAGAAGCTGTCCTTATCCGACCCACGTTTGCAGACAGCCCTGCTCTCCTCCTGTCCCTCTGCCTGCTAGGCTGCCACGCCCCTCGTCCCCACCCCTTACACACGCACACGCCCCCAAGCCTGGGGAAGCTGTTCTCTGTCGCAGGCGTCCATTCCTCACCTTCCCCGAACCCGCCCGTCTGCACCCACGCCTCCCGTGCCCGCGCCGCTGCTGAATGGAAACCACGCATCGGCGTCTCACACACGGCCGCGCGTGGCGGCTGAGTGGGAGCGACGCAGCGGTGTCACTGTCACAGATCTGCTCGCCATTCGCACACCCCTTTGTCCGCTCTAATAAAGTTGCCCGCCCAGTGCCGGACACGCGTTCACAACGACACACACACACTCCTTCCCGCGGCCTCCGGCCCCGCAGCTCCCGCGGGCCCCGGGGACCGCTACAGCGCGGCCTGTCCACGACGGTCCAGGCCCGCGCGGGTCCTCCCTGCATGCGCGCGGCCCTGCGCCGCGGGGCCCCGGGCGGCGCACCTGTCACCTTGCGCGGCGCGGGAGGGGGAGCACCCGCGACGTCCGTCCCGGACCCCAACGCGGCCGCCCCCCTCTCCCGCCAGTGCGGGTATGCGGGTATCGAACACGCACTCGACCTAAGACGAGGGACCGGGGCGCGTCCCGGGGAGGCCGCCCGCGAGGCCTCGCCGCCCCGCACCCCGCATCCCGCGCGTGTTGGGCATCGGCCCGCCGAGCCACGCGCGCCCTCGCGCCGCCGCCGCGCGGGCCTTTGTTGCGGAGGGAACTGTCCAGCGCGGGCCTCCGCCCCGCCCGCCCGCCACCCTCGGCGTCCCCGGCGAGGTCCGGCCGGTCGGCGCGCGCTCACCCGCGGCCAGCAGCAGCAGCAGCAGCGGAGGCAGCCGGGCGGCCCGCAGCGGCCGGGCCATGGTGCAGCGTCCCGCCCGCAGCCGCAGCGCCGCGGCGCCCGGGCCCGCATCGGGGGCGCGCAAGCGAAGGCGGCGGCGCGCGCGCGTCCCATTGGCCAGCACCTCCATCACTCACGCGCCCGGCCGGCCAATCTACGCCGCGGAGGCCCCGGGGGGCGGGGCCAGGCCCGGAGTCGGGCCTCGCACCTGCACCTCGCGCCTGGCGTCCCCCGTGGCTCCCGGCTCTGCGACAGCGGCGCGCGCGCCCAGAGCCACTCAGGCACCATCCCCTGGGAAGCACGTCCTGCAGCGGAGGCTGGCCAGCTGCGTAGAACGAGACTGGTGATAACGTGGAGATGACAGCTAGTGGGAGGCCCTAGGAGGCGTAGGGTCAGCAAAGGCCTAAAAAAGTGGGGTACCTGGGTCGGGTGGGCCCCAAAGGACATGGGAAGATGAGACTTAGGCAAGGACCAGACCCAGCACCGGGCCCTAGTCTAGTTCAGATCTTCACTCCAGCTGGCTCCCACGCCTCGTGCAGAAATGTCCCCTGTGGGCCCAGATGCCTTTCTTCCCTAACCCGTGCCCCCCCACTGGCTCTGGAGTTCACGTGCCAAGCACTGCGGCGCGACTAAAACAGGACCTCCCTGTCTTCATGGCTAGTGAGAAGACAGGAGAAACATCAACACCACGAGGTCCTGTAACGACTATTGCAAGAAGGCCTGCTGCGAAGTTAAAGAGCTGTGGGATGCAGGGAGGGGAAACTTCAGCTTGCCTTCCGGAAGAGCATTTAAGTCACATCTTTAAGGATGAATGGGCATTGGGTAGGTTGGGCTTGGGAGAACATTCAAGACAAAGAAAATCCCCATTGGTAATTCTCATGTTAGAAAGGAACCCGGCTTCTCCAAGGAACAGAAAAGCACCCAACCCCTCACTGCAAACTAAATTGCACTTTATAAAGAGCACACTAGAAAACACCTCTTTAAAATAGCAAATTACTATTTTGGATATGCAAACCATGTCTTCACCCCTCTCTGCAGGGTATCACTATAGTGAAATTGCAGGTGATCTCACAGGGTTTTAAATTCTTAGGAGAAATAGGACATAGGGTAGAAGGATACAGACAAGAAATAGGTTCCAAAGGAAGGAAAGACATGAGTGCAATGTTGCATCTTATTGACAGTAAGTGACCTGTCATATTTAGGGGAATGAGTGTCACGATTAGGAGAGAGGGGTCAGAGACACAGGTGACTAGTTGAAGGGTAGGATGAGAAGCAGTAACTGGGCAAAGATGTTGCCACTTTAGTCACAGAACTGTATGACTTCATTTAGCCTGTGAACAACTTAAACTGCACAGACACTGATTCGTGGGTACTACAAGCAGTAGAAAGGTAGGCGAGTGAGGTCCTGTAGAAGATAATCCCAGACATCTGGATGAGACATTTGGACTTTACCTTGTAAGAAATTCATTTCTAATATAGGAATCATGGCATGATTCCATTTGTGTTCTACACAAACAATTCTGACCACCAACAGGGGACAAGAACTAGAGAAAAAAATGCAAAATAGCCAGGGAAGAGATTGTTCTGGATGTCCTGAGGGGTGTCTTGGGGGGCAGGGATGGCAATGGAAGTCCAGCCTAGAGCTGGCTTAGCAGTGGGGTGACGTCATGAAAATCCTCCTGAAAAAAACCGATCAGCTTTGGAGAATGTCCAGAGTGGTGTCGGCTGGGTTTTTGGGTGCCATTCTTTCCACAAGTACATACTGGAGAGAACCCGGTCTGTAACAGTTCGCACACAGTCAGCCCACACAGCCAGGGGAGAGAGCCCCAGAGAGCGCTACACAGTGTGAATCAAGTCGGGACTTAAATGGGTGTAGAGTCTAGAGAGGTAAAGATCTTGCTCCTCTGAACTCAACCTTCCCCAACATTATGTTCTTGTAGTGACATCTATTTTCTTTTGGGGGGGGTGCAAACAACAGGAGAAATCTGGAGAGATGTCACGAGGAACAGCAGTTAAAGCTGTTGAAGTGTCTGGTTTGGGAAAGGGGAAACTGGGTTGCATGGAGGCCCATCTCCTTCCACAGGCTGGTTTCCTCCACTTGGGCTCATCACGTCGCTTGTTTCCTTGCCACGGACTTCCACTAAAGGGCCTCTCGTCAACGGTGTCAGCCTGTCCTCTGGTTCATTCTCATTAAATGCAAACATGACCCAGCATCCCTTACCTTTGAAAAACCCAATACGGGGAGATGAGCTTCACTGTAGTACACAAAGCACAGGTGCCTGCTTTCTGCTGGGAGGACGTGCGGGCGCACACGCAGCACCATGTCTACAATGGAGAGGAATCACTGGAAAATAAAAAGCAAATGAGATTTAACCAATAGAGGAAGCCACAGCTCCAAATGCACACGCTTCTAAATAACTCTTGGGTTAGACCACGTGTCATAAATTTTAGTCCATTTAGAAATTAATAGCATAAGAATGGTGCATATCAAAATCCAAGGAATGCAGCCAATACTCAGCAGGGCTTTTATTGCTGCAAGTACATTATTTGTTTATTTATTTACTTATTTATTTATAAAAAGGACAGGTTAAGTAAATGAGCTAAGTGTTCAATTTAAGACGCTTTAAAAACACAACGCATAAAACAACTAATCAATAAATCAACTAATCAACTAATCAGAATCCCAGTAGACTAAGGAGCACTGAGAACTGATTGTCCCTAGAACAACATGCAGGTTTTCATGTGGCAGTGAAAGCCTCACCAATGGGTGTAATAAAAACACTTGTTAATTTCAAAAGCCTAGAACTGATTACAAATAACCTGTTATTTGAAAACATAAATAAAGCGGATAAAACTTTAGCATCAAGAAAAGACAGCCAGGCGGCAAATAGTTTGCAAGACCCTATCTCAAAAAAACCCATCACAAAAAAGGGCTGGTGGAGTGGCTCAGATATAGGCCCTGAGTTCAAGTCCCAGTACTGAAAAAAAACAACAAAAGACATAAGTATTTGTAAAGGAATGCAAGAAAAAAAAGCACAAATAATAAGATCTAAAGATTATAAACAAAAACTTAATTTATGAATTAAATTTAAAAATCTCATTGAAACAAATGTTTCTAAGGAAACAGTTACTGAAATTGATCCTAGTGGTAGAAAAGCTAAACAGACAGCATAAGGAGTAACAGAAAAAAATAGATTAGAAATCTGCCCTAAACATGCTAAAGTGGCGTTCGGTAAGAGCTCAAGATCGACCTCTTCAGAGCAAAACTGGAGCTATAACCTCTAACAACCAGGAGCAACACAAATAGAAAAAAGCCTAAGCCACTTACAGTCACAACTTTCATAATGAAAGTGAGAGCCAGTAGATTGTAGCATTGTATTCAAAGTATTAAAATTTTAGTCCTTACTTTGAGCAGCAAAAAGAAGCCACCTCTCATACATCAAGAAAACAAACTATGTAATTACATTTAGCATCCACTCCATGATAAAAAAAAGTCTTGGGAATAACGAAACTCCCATAAGTCAACAGTGTCTCCCAGAAACCTGTAACGATGAAACGTAAGTACTTGCACTTAAGTGAGGAACAAAAAAAGGAATAGTCATTACCACCCCAAAATTGAATTTTCTGTGAAGGCTAATTCAACAGCTCTTGATAAAAGAAATAGGATAAAAGACTATTGGGTGAAACTCACTTTTTGCAGGTTTACCTAAAGATTCAAGACAACCAACTAGCATGTGAATTGAGAATGAGTTCGGCAAGACTGCTGGACACGAGCCCATTTGCAGAAGGGTGGTAATTTTCTGTGTCTCTAATAACCACTGAAAAATACAAGACCATAGGGCTGGGTGGCTCAGTGGTAGAGCACTGCCTACCATGCAAAAGGCTCTGGGTTCCATCTGCAGCACTGCTTAAAAAACACAAAAGATGCCATTCACAATCTTACCAAAAGCAATATAACTTAGGAGCCAAGAATAAACCAAACTGGAAGTGTATAAACTAAAAATAAAGCTTCATAAAATTAACAATGGGAAAGCCAGATCTTGTCTGTAAACTGGAAGATTGTCGTTCTGATTAAATGTTCTGATTAAATGCTTTTAGCTGCTGTCTTGTCAAGTCAGCTTTCACACTGTGACAAGATGTGAGACACTCAACCTGTAAGAAGGAAGTTTATTGTGGCTCACGGTTTGAGGTTTTGGTTGGTTGGTTCCATTTTCTTCGAGCCTGTGGTGAGGCAGAATAAGATGGCAGGAATACATACGTGGTAGAGACAGGATCGCCTCATGGCAGCCAGGAAGGAGATAGGAAAGGACTGGGGTCTCAAGTCCACTTCAAGGCCACACCCCCGACCCCACTTCCACCAGGCCCCAAGCCCCAGAGGTTCTACTACCTCCCAATAGTGCCGACAACCACGCCTTCAGCACATGACCATTGTGAGACATTTAAGATCCAAACCAGAAGACATCACTGGCTTTTTCTCCATCCACAGACAAAACAGCTCTTCTGACCAGACCTGTCTCCCACAGAGTCCCAAAGGCAGAAGATGGACAGGGCCTTCAAAAAAGTCCAGGAAAGCCCAGGTTACAATAACAGAACTGAGGCCAACTGATTCAACTTTTTATTAAATCTGACTTTATCAAAAAATTAAAACTACAGAAATGAAAACTGAATGTACAAAAAGCAAATGGAAGAAATGGTTAGGTGGGAGAAAACAGATTAACACAGCAATGAAGACTGGCGGTCGTGGCTAAGGAAAAATTCTCATGACCCACTCCTGCCGTGGGAAGACCAAGCGTGCCCTTCTGGGGAGCCCAGGCATGGCGCGGACAGGGTCACACTCTCTTCTTCCCTTCTGGCTGAGAAACCTGCAGGGCAGAGTTCCGGAAAAGACTACAAATACCTCTAAGTTGCTCTTTGGCTAAAGGTGGGAGAAGCAGCTGCGACAGGAACCTCACACCAAGATGGAAACAGTTCCCAGAGCGACGACACAGATGCTCTGTCACCTGAAACACCCTCTGAACACCTCACTGATACAGGCACTGAGTGGACACAAACCACATGTAGGTAGGAGGCTGCTGAGTGGCCAGAACAGTGCCCAGGACAAGTGTCACTACAAGGTGAGGAAAGCAGGAAAGTGGAGCTAAAGAAATAAATGCCGTTCTTCCCAGTCACAGCCCCAGCCCAGGGACTGTGGGTGAAGGCAGCCATCTGGCTCCAACCCCAGCCAAGCACACTTGGAGCCCCCTGGTGGGTTGGTCTTGTGTGCACAGAACGCAGTATGACTGAGTGCTGGTCTGAGTCCCTGAACAGAATCACAGGGAGTCACTGCAGAGGGCCTAGGGCCTCAGAATTGCTGAAGGATCATCTTCCGCTTCAGGTCATGGCTGAACTTGTTCATCCTGAAGAGCTCACTGTCATAAAACGCCGAAAGGCTGTGGATGTTGATCTGCCGCGCCTACAAGAGGAGACACCCGGGAAGCCATCAGTGCATGAGGACCAGCCCTGCTGGCTGTGGGTCCACTGTGCTTTCAGTCACCCCAAGCAGAGGCTGAGTGAGGGCTGGAACCAGATGGCCGGCCCCAAGCGGGAGCTCCCCAAGCTGTGCGGAAACTTGGGAGAAGGTGCTGGGTTGCCGTGTGCCTGGCTCCACTGATGTCTTACCTCATTCACCTGCTACCAAGACTGAGTGCACAGGGCTGTACGAGGTACACGGTGAGTGCGTGGAAAGTGGGTGCCACCCTAGACCCTCCACTTAACAACCACTGTGACCAAGGCCCAAAGAGGACTGACAACTCCCAAGATAACAAACCAGACCCCCATCCCAACTGTGCTGTACCTTGTCCACCAAGTCCTTCTCAGGCACCTCGATGGTGTCCTGCTGGGCCCCAAAGCGGTTGCGTTGGTATGTCACCTGCTCTGCGACTAGCTGCTTCAGTATGAAAAGCAGCAGCTCATTGTTGTCCCGCCGGAAGGAGAGATAGCGGGCAAAGGTCTGCAGGAGGAGAGCAGAGCCGAGGTCAAAGACCACCCCACCTCCACCATGCTACCCCCTTCTCCACAGGCTCTGTGTGCCAGGGACAAGGCTGACACTGCACTAGGGTGGACAGCCAACCAGGGCTCCAGGCCTGAAACATCCCAGGTATCCCAAACATGGTGACGGTGGCCTCGCTTGCCAGGGGCCCACCTTTCGCATGCTGCGTGTGACACTGAACTTCTGGGTGTCGATGAAGCTCTCCAGCATCACGCGGATGGCCATGTTGACATCATCTTCTATCACGTAGTCCCGCAGGTGCATGCGTGCGTGGGCCTCCGCCATGCGGATCATGGACTCGATGTGCCGCACCGTGATGGGGATACTGCCGGTCGCCTGGGGAGAGGGACAGCACAAGGCCTCCTCAGGTGAGAAGGGGCAGGAGGACCAGCTACAGCGCCCAGCTCAAGGGCACCACATTTCCTGCTCCTTCCTGAGCCGTGCAGAAGCCCAAAGCCTGCCAGAAACACACTGCACATGCTGCCCCTCAGCTGGCCTGTATGCACTGCATGGTCAGTCCTGTCAGCGGCCAGCTATGTGGTCATCTACTAAACGCCACGTAACCCAGGACAGTACAGGGGAGGGAAAAAGCTGTCATTCCTGTGAAAGCGAAGTTGAATGCTCTAAAAAGACTTGGCAAAGTTAAAAGGCAAAAACAAAACTAAAAAGGCTGATGATTGATTAGGTGTAGGTGAGATGGAGCCACCTGAGGATTGGGCATTCCAGCAGCTCATGAGCTGCCTTGAACTTGCTCCACTGTGGAAGAACGAGAACTATTTCAGACCTCCTGTTCATGGGGTGAGATTTGTGTAAATTGAAACAGAACTTACAAGCAAAGACCCCTGTACCACAACAGCCTAAGACACACTGAAGTTTTTTTTACCCGTTACACAACTGTTAAGGTATGGAAGCATTTGGGGGGATAGAATCCAGGGCCTTGCTGTGTGTGTGTGCAGGCTCTCTACCACTTCAGTCATACTTCCAGTCCATTTTACTTTGGTTATTTGAGATAGGGTCTCCTTTTTGCCAGGGTCAGCCTGGACTGCAATCCTATTTTACACCTCCTGCCATCACTGGGATAACAGGCCCCTGACACTATCCCCAGCTTTTCTCCATTGAAATGGAGATCTTGCAAACATTTTTGCCCTGACTGATCCAGAACTGCCATCCTCCCAATCTCAGCCTCTGGCATAGTTTTGGATGGCAGTCATGTGCCCCTGTGCCCAGCTATTGGTTGAGAAGGTCAACTTTTTGCCCCAGTTGGACTCCAACCACAATCTTCCCTATCTGAGCCTCTGAAGTAGTTGGGATTGCAGGTGTAAGCCACTAGCCTCTGGCAGTACCGTCCTTTCATGCCTTCCTGCCTCTGGTACCTCTGGATGGACCCTACCCTTTGACCTGGCCAGAAAGTCACACTGCACTTCTTTCTCTGGGTCTGCCCAGGCTCCCTGGCACTCACCATAGACTCTTTCCTCAGGTCACTGTACATCTTGGCCACCTTGTCCTGGTCCATCTGGTTGAGCTTTGGGTGGACCCTCTCCTTGGCATAGATGATGTACTTTTTCAGGACCTCCTGTGGCAGGGGCTCCACGCCATACGTGTTGGGCATGGCGGGCTCTGAGGTGGTGCTGGCCAGTCCCTCCTCCTTCTTGTTGCTGGGATGGTGTCTGACGTGGCTGCCAACCACGAAACGGGCCAGCATCTCATCCTAAAGATGTCAGGGGACGACAGTAAGGGTGGGTGGCTGGGGAACCAGCCAGCTGGGAGACTGACCAGGAGATCACCTCCTGGAGAGGGCACATACAAATACAGTTTAAAACTCAATTGGAAGTGGGGTACAGGGGTGCACCTCTGTAGTTGCAGCTACTAGAGAGGCTGAGGCAGGAGATCAATGGAGCCCAGGAGTTTTGAGACCAGCCCAGGAAATAGAGCAAGACACCAGCTCAAAAAGCAAAGAAAAAAAGAAAGTCACATGGGCTACAAATAAAAATGGGGTGATGGTACCAAAGAGATTCCTCTAGCTAACACTGGCACAAAAAGGTTCTCCAAAGGGCACATGAGCTGAGGTAGGTCATGGGACAATGTGAGAGGGGAACGTCACATGGGGATGGAGCACATCTAAGTCCTCTTTCAGAGAGAGGACAAGCAGGTACAGCTGCAGGGTGGGCTGGGGTCAGGGCAGGACAGCAGCATTCCCAGGGCCTAGCAGGCACAGGGGGGCCAGACTAGAGGGCGGTCTCAGCATGTGGGAGAGACCAAGGCAGGTGACGGCCGTTCCTCAGTCAGGACAGAAGCAGCAGAGGGAGTGGCACAGGCGTGGGGCCAGCAGGGCTGGGAGGACAGCCAGGGAAGGAAAGAGAAGTCAGGACAACTCTTGGACATAAGAAGAGAAGGAGGGAATGAGACTAAACAAGCCATGTCCACACAGTGCCCCCTTCCCTGTGCCCGACTCAGCCTCAGGCAAGGGCCCAGAGCCTATCACACAGCACTAGGTCTGTGGGGCTGTACCTGAAGTGGGTCCACTGTGTCCCTCACTACACACAGGACGTCGAAGCGGGAAATGATGGGCTCCGTGAGGTCCACATTTTCTGAGAAGGTCAGCGAAGGGTCGTAGCGGCCCCCTGAAACACAAGGAACCTGTCAGCAATTCAACATTCACCCCGTCCTCTCTTCTCAATCTCTGAAACTCAGGCTATTCCAACAGCCGGAGGGGATGATAGTACAGGAGGAAACACAGGATGGACAGGCACTGCCTGCTGCCTGTCTGTTCTGGATAAGGGATGGCACAGAGCTTTCCTGGAGCTCTGCCTGAAAACAGCTGTTGTCCTCTGAGAAGAGTACGATGGACTCAGGGCCTGGGCTGGCCAATCACTTGCCAGCTGACCCCAGCACCATCCTCCCCAGCCCAGACACTAGAGGATTCTTCTCCTTGTCTTCTGAAAATACTCTAGGGCAGTGTAGAGAACATGACTCCATGAAAACCAGGGGTCCTATGCACCCTTCTTCCATGGTCCATGCTCTAGCAAGACAGAGGACACTTCCTGCTGCCCAATGGCATCCTTGGACCTGCACCTCAGGACCCCATGTCTGGCCAAGGCGGCCCTGTGGGCCTGCGTGGCAGAGCCTGGCATACCTATGGGATTGGCAGCAGCTATGACAGTGCAGCGGGCCTGCAGGGAGGTGACGATGCCGGCCTTGGAGATGGAGATGCTCTGCTGCTCCATGGCCTCATGGATACTGGTTCTGTCCTGGTCATTCATCTGCGAGAGTCAAGAGGCCCATTCTTTAGTGTGACCCTTGCACCACTTCCCCAGTAACACTTCCCCCGGCTAAGGCCGAGTCCCACCTTGTCAAACTCATCAATGAGACACACTCCTCGGTCAGCCAGAACCAGCGCTCCAGCTTCTAGGGTCCACTCCCTGCTGACCGGATGCCGTTGGACATACGCCGTGAGACCCACGGCTGATGCCCCCTGGCCAGTGGTGAAGATGGCTCTGCTAGACACCTTCTCAATGTATTTGAGGAACTGAGACTTGGCTGTGCCTGGGTCTCCACACAGGAGTACATTGATATCACCTCGCACCTTATGCTTCCCACCTAGGGAGGAGACAAGGATGGCAGTAGAGGGAATGGGAAAAAAGGGGGAGGAGGGCAGAAAGGTGGGGTGGACACAGCTGGATTGCTCTCATCTTTCAATCTGCTCATTAGAAAAGGCTAAGACAGGTCTCTCTACAAGGAATGTAAAGCCCTAGTACCAGCAGGCCCTCCTGAGAACTTGACCCGAAGAAATGTGCAGGGTCCACAGGGAAACAAGTCTGGGATGGCCTGCCTTTGTGCAGGGGAAAACCTGGAGTTTTAAATCATCTCCAACAAGACAGACCAAAATAAACTGCACAGAGCAGGACACAGCAGTGTGGAAGCATGAACGTCTTTGTGTGCATTAAGACAGAAAGGTGCCAGCCATGCTCCTGAGAGGGAAAAGGCAAAAGGGCACACAAACGGGAGATCCCAAGTGTGGAACGCAAACGTGTACACACGCCATGAAATCCGTGTGTGCAGTCTGTGTGAATGGCCACACACACCAATCAGATCAGAGGCCTGAGCCACGGGAGGGGACCAGGAAGAGAAAGGGCTGTCAACAGTGACTGCGGCCTCACAAGTGAATTCTATTATAGTTACACATTCACATATTCTCCTGTGCTTAGATCTTGCTTTGTAAAAAGGCAAAACATTTTAAAAACAAGAGAAACAAAAGCAAAGATGAATGTGCTCCAATCGCAAAGGTGGGCAGCCATGAAGATGGGACAGACGCTGGCTACTGACAGCCCTTTCTCCAAGCGAACAGGCCACATGGTCCAGCCATCTTTTGCCACCACATTCTTTGTCCCAGCACAGAGGCTTTAAAGACATGGAGTCCTGGCTCCTGGCAGGGGAAGAGGTGGAAATAGGGTGCTTACCTGGGTTCTTGGGCTCCCCTCCAAACAGGGCCAGAGCCAGGCCTCTCTTGATATCTTCGTGGCCATAGATGGAAGGAGCAATGCTGGCAAAGATCTGAGGAAAGGGAGGAGACCATGGGCACGGGAACCCATGAGAGGAGGGTGCTATGTGCTCTGCTTTAAGAACCAGGGAGTGCCCAGCATGCAGCAGCCACCTCAGGCCCAGACACCAAGTCCTGCCCTCACCCCGGGCTCCTTCATGAGCTGGCTCTTTCCAAGGCAGAGTTGAGAGCCACCAAGAACCTCAGTCTGACCCCTTTGATCTGTAGTGGCTTAGAAAGGACGTGCCAAGAATCACAGACCCAAAGCAGAAACGAGAAGAACTGGAGCCAGTGCACTAAGTGGCAGCACCTAGTACTCTGACAGCACAAACCAGACAGCTTGTCACCATGCTGCTGAACCCCAGCCTCAGTAACCTCCCATGGGAAAGAGGTGGCAATCTGATCTCAGCAGCACGAGGTCTGAATCAGACACAGCTCACACAAGTGACAGGCCACCAGCACATGATCAAGTATGGTGCACCTGGGTCCACCTGAAGGCCAAGGGATTTTAGTCAGTCAACATTTCTCCATTACACAGAAAGAAGCACAAAATCTGCCTGAGTTTTAAAGACAGAACTAGAGACAGCAGAGAAACCCTCGCTTGTAGGAAGGCGCTTCCAACCCTGCAATGTAGCTGTGCTCTGCCTGAGCTCACTCTCCACACCCCTGCTCTAAGGGCTCTGCAGGTCAGAGTGGTGTGCCCTAACTTCCCTCCTTCCCACACAGACCAAGGAGCTCAGGCAGCACCAGGACACTGGGAGGCGGGCACTGGAGCAGGACGTCAGCACTCAGCACAGAGGGAGAGACCCATCCTCACCAGCCTGGGTTCTGTGTCTACCTGTGCAGCCAAGTTAGCACCCAAAAGTCACCTCCAACTCCTATTCCCCAAAGAAGAGAAAGAACACTTACAGGGTGTTTTTGAGAAATGGCCAACTCTTGGCCTGAAACAGGAAATGTGCAAAAGGAGCCTGCAGTATCTTCCACCAGGAAGTAGAAAAGCACTCCAAGACAACCAAGGTCACATTGAAAGGACACAGAGGCCAAAATAAAGAGGCTCACGCTGGCCACTGTGGAACAGAGCACCAGGTAGGCTGGTGACCATGTGCTCAGACTGAAAGGGAGGAAGTCCACTCATTCTCAATGACACTCCATGAGCACCTTGGAGGTCGCTGCAGAATCCCAAATTGGCACAAATGGATGAATTGCTTCAAAATTGTGAACCAATCCATCATTACAAAAATGAGGAAATAAACACAAGCAATCACCCTTCTCCTCCTAGTGTAGCTTTACCTAGGGGTAACAAGTCCACAAAGACAAGTTCTTCTTTATAAAGTTCCCCAGCAAATAAACACAGGGCCTAGAGCCAAAAGATGCTCACTCCGTAACAACTTCATCATCACTCATCAATAGCTGCTGACATCAGGTACAATCTCCTGCCTCCCTGTGAAAAGTCCACCTCTGAAGGAGTCTTCCCAGTCCCCACCCAAAATGAGGAAAAGAATTAAACTGAGGGTCTGTGGGTGTGGTGAGGTGGCCCGGGCTTTCTTCCCCAGCATCACAAAATAAATAATCAAGCTGCTTCTGATCTGACTGCCCATTTAAAAATACAGAGGTGGCAGGGCCAAAGTACATCCATACTGGACAACTCAACAGGACAAATGACCTCCATAAAACCCCAAGAACAAGGGAACAAGCAGAGGCCTACAGATGACGCTATCAATCAACTGCAAGAAGCTGTTTTTAAAAAAAGCTAAGATGCTCAGGGCACCAGTGGCTCATGCCTATAATCCCAGCTACTCAGGAGGTAGGGACCAGGAGGATCATGGTTCAAAGCCAGCCCAGGCAAATAATTCCCCAAGACCCTATCTTGACAAACCCTTCCCAAAAATAGGGCTGATGGGAGTGGCATAAGGTGAAGGTCCTGAGTTCAAGCCTGCAAAAAAAAAAAATCAGGGAAGTGTGATCATCAACCAGATATCTGATATCAAAGCAGTATTCATTATTTTTAAGGTATATAGTGGTATTGACCCTTTCTGTTAGAGACCCACAGTCACAGATGAAATGCTGCACCCGGAGTCAGCCTGGAGGGTGGGAGGGAAGAGTTTGGAGGAAGTTGGCTGTGACTCTACAGCCATGGCACCTGGATGCAGTGCTGTGGGGTGGGGTGGATGTACCCCCCAGAAGCATGTGTTGGAAATATCTCCCAAGGTAGCAGTACTAAGAGGTGGGACCTTCATGAGATGACCAGTAAGAAGGGCTCTGCCCTTAAACACTATTGCCATGGGGGCAGGTTACAGGAATCATACTGAAGGGCTAGACTCAAAAGATCTCTCCACCTTCCCTGCAAGTGCTCTCTGTGGTTTCTGCAGGCCCTGTGCAGGCTCCCATACCCAGAGTGTACGCAAACTTTCATTCTTAGCCATCTGCAACAGCCAAGTCCCTGGCACATGCACCTGAGATCCTCTTATGGTGCTCTTACAGGAGACAGACCATCTCATCATCCTAAGGACAAGCCTGAAATCCAAACAAGTAAGTCTGGCTCAGACTCCCCACTTCTGTTAGTTCTACATCTGAATGTCAGGCACGGCTTTATCTCATTAATACTGACCCTCTGTCAGTGCCCAGGGCCCACAAAACCTTTAGCAGGGCCACACAACTCAGTTGATCAGGCTGGACCAAACACAAGAGGGGAACAGGCACTCTGGAGGGCACTGGAAGAGTGGCCTCACTTGTCCAGATTGCTGCCAGATAGCAACACAGAAGGACATGGGGGTTTTCAAACCCCAGGCATCCAAGGTGTGCTATGACATACCCTGAGTCTGAAAGGGGGAGAACTCACTCCATAGTGAAAACAAGTAAACCAACACCAGCAGCAAGCAAGGCTTCAAAGTGTGTTATGTCTGGTACCGATGTTCCTGGGGACTGTCTCGCCCAGAGCCTTGCTCAAATCCAGACAGGCTGTGTCTACTACTCTCACCTGGGTTTCCTCAGTTTCTCAAACCAGCAGAGTGGGAGAGAAATGGCCACAGTCCCAGTGGCGGGGAGGGGCTGTGACAGGGATCTAGAAGCACACTGTCCTATGGCAGCACACAGCAGACAAACCATGTATGTACAGGACATGACCCAGCTGCGAGAGGGCCAAGACAACAGCAGGCCAAGTCCTCCCAGGCCTGAAGAAACCACTCCCACAGGCAGATAGGAACCAGATGCACACGGTATTAGCACTTGTGTTCCTCTGGGTGGGGTTGGGACAGAAGACGGGGAGCAAGCAGAGTTTCCTTCCTTGAGTGTCAGTGATTTCCTAGAATATGGAACCTTGGGAAAAGACTTCAAGAACCTAAGAAGCTTCAGAGGAACAGGACCCCTGTCCCCTGCCTACCAGCTCATCCCCAGAGCACTCCAAAAGACAGAACCTCTGCCTCCTGATGACCAATTCAAATGATGACCACAACTCTCCACAAGGATAAGGACCACTGTTGCCAGCCCACCAATTCATCTCCAGAACTTGGCCCTGGAGGGCTTCCAAGGAACAGATGTACGATGACTGAGTTTCTCATCTTCCCGAGACTAGGAAATACCACCTGTCCTGTGGACACTCAAATCCTGGCAGACTGGAAGATGGCCCAGCTTGCTCCTCCAGCAGAGCTGGGGACTTGGCGCCAGAACTAACCTTTTCGAAGGACGTGCTTCCAGAGCTCTCCTGAGCAACAACAATGACCTAACTCTGTGGCCACATAGCTAACATGCATTAATTCTCTCATTCATCCCCTCAAAAACGCAGCAGGGAAAGGGCTAGGGTGTGATTCAGTGTTTGACAGGCATGGACAAGGCCTTGGTTTCCATCCCTAACACCGTAACAGCATCAGGTATAAGCCTGTCATAGTGGGTAAAGCCTATAATCCTAGCTACTCTGGAGGCAGAGATTGGGAGGATTGTGGTTTGAGGCTAGCCAGAGCAAACAATCAGCGAGACCCCATCTCAACTAAAAAAAAGCTGGGCACGGTGGCACGCATTTGTCATCCCAGTTATGAAGGAAGTATAAAAAGGAGGATCGTAATCCAGACTGGCCCAGGCAGAAATGTCAGACCCTACCTCAAAAATAAGCAAAGCAAAATGGGCAGGGGGTGGGCTTAGGTGGTCTATTAGAAAGCATGAAGCCCTGAGTTCAAACCCCAGAACTGCCAACAAGAAAAAAAAAAAAAAAAAAGAATTAGAGATGATTTGGGGCCAAGGGAGGAGACAGAAATCCTGACTGTCAAGCCAGCCTTCACTGGGGCTATAAATGCTGCTCCTTTACTCCTGCTGGCTCCGTTCCACAGCAGCTTCTCACTACACTCAACACACTCTGCTGGCCTACAGAAGCTTCAAGGAGCAAGCAAGAAACAGAACAGACCACAGGTACGTTCCATGCCAGAAAAGCCAGGAGCAAGCAGACGCGAACCATGGTAAAGGTCAAGGGGGACGAAATGAAGAAGCACAATGGCTGGGCTAAAGTGGAGCCAGTCTGGGTCTGAGTCTGGATGCAACTCTGTCCCATCACCCCCTCAGAGCTGGGCTCTGGGGACAGAGACTACCTGGCTTTGGCTCCTGCCCTCACCTGAGGCTTCTATACATAATGACCGATTCACCAGTCAAGTCACCTGGAAGCTGAACACAATGCTGCTGTGGAGGCCAGACCTACAGCAGCTGAAGGTGAAGGGAAGTGAGTCAAGCAGCTCTACATCAAACCCAATGGGAAGCTGAGTGAAGGAGAGGGAGGAAGAGGGGGAGCTAAGAATGCACAGCCTCAGGGGTAGGGAGTCCGAGAAGAGAAATGGCAGGGATCTTTTTTTTTTTTTTTTTTGTAGGACTAGTGTTTGAACTCAGGACTTAGACTTTTTATAAAGCAGGTGCCCTACTACTTCAGTCACACCTCTAGTCCATTTTGCTCTGGTTATTTTGGAGATGGGGGGGGGTCTCATGAACTATTTGCCCAGGCTGGCCTCCCAAGTAACAAGCATTACTGGCGTGAGCCACTGGTGCCCAGCTGGGGACTTTCATGAAGTGATCCACACTTCTGCAATGTAAACCCTGGAAAATGGCTGGAGTCTGATGCCAGAGTCACCCTCATGAAGCAGAAGTGGCAGAACTCAGGTCTGATCATTCCACAATCCTGTTCCACAGGACAGGCAAGGTCACCAAGTCACTCAGCCCCTGGCTGGCATGAGATCAAGCCCTAGCTGGGGTGGCCATCCCTGACAGCAGTTTATTCCTGTCCCTTGGGGTACAGGGCCTCCCAAGGAGACATGTGCCCACATTCCGGGTTAGGGATGAGGGCACTGGGTTCCCAGGACCAGGGAACCAGGAATGAGGTTTCAGGGGCAGTTAGGGGACAGCCAAGGTTTGGGCAACAAGCCCCAGGTGCCCACACCTCACCAGCCCCGCCTGCCACCTGCCTTCTCCCCAATCTGCTGATCCTTGGAGAGGCTGGTGATCATCTTCACGTCCTCATCTGTCAGCTCTCCGACGGCCACTTTGTTGTCCTTCTTGGCCACGTGGTTGGCCAGGATGACGGTGGCAAAGACAGGGAAGCCGTTGGCAGTGTTGAGGGAGCCGTCATAGTTGTTGTGATAGATGCCTGTCAGCTCCTGAGGGAAGAGCAGGTGGTCAGAGGCCTGGCCCAGGTTCAAGTCAAGCTGCACAAGTCCATGCTGCCTCCTAGTCTTTCCTACCCCAAGTCCTTCACACTACAGACACGAAGGAGCAGCTCGGCAAAGCCAAAAGGAGATGACCAAAGGCCATGTGCCAAAAGTTTGGTGTTTCCAGCCCTTGGTGCTACTCAGGCACTACTTTAGGAGGTGAGGCCTAGAAATGGATATTGGGACCCCTTTTCTCCCCCATCCCCCGCTTTCTTCCTGGGCTCCATGCTTCTGCCATGATATCCTGTGCTGCCAAGGCCCAAAGCAACAAGGCCAAGCGAGCATGGACTAAAATCTCTGAAACTGTGAGCCAAAGTAAACCTTCCCTCCTTTAAGTTGCTCATCTCAGGTATTCTCACGGCAACAAAAGGCCGACTCCCTCACAACCCACCACTGCAACCAACAAATGTACTGCAAGGAGAGAGGTTCTCACCCCAATGTTTCAAGAGTCAACCTCAGTCCAAGCCACCCTGCTAGCACTGCACCCCACCAACTTGCCACAGCTCTTTATGCCAAGTCCCCCACACTTTGGCATCCACCCAGCACACGGCTGGCCACTCACTATCTCATCTCCTGGCTTACAGCTGTCCACCAGATCAGCAAGAAGAATGGCGTCCTTGGAGCGGGGCAGCCGGCCAGCCGCCACTTTGCCTGGGCTCTCCTGGATGCGGATACGCTGGTAGTTCTGATAGATGGTCTGCAGGGGACAGAGAGCTGGTCGTGAACCCCTTCCTGCGTGGCAGAGATCCTGCTTGCCTCATAGCACCTGGCCTCAATCTTAGGCCCCCAAGACAGACAGTCAGCAGTAGTTGTCCACCTCCTGACTGGGAATGAGAGCTACACAGGCAAAGGTCAAGCCTCCTGTGACCCAGCATGCCAATGGTGGTCCCCGATTGTGCCCCCAGCCCTCCGAATGCCCTCATCCTGCTGGACTCTGTGCTGTGCTGCAGGACTATGTGTGTGGACACTAGAGCCAGGCACCTCGATTCAAATCCTGGCCTGTAACTTCCTCTCTGAAGAGATGGTATGCTAATACTGTAAGTGTGACCTCATGGTGGGGTTAAGTGCTCTGTATAATCCACCAAAGCAACGCCCACGAACAGCAAGTTACAAGTGTCTGTTTTCACCAAGCATCTGTGCCAGCGCTGTGCCAGCCCACACTTCACTTACTGTCTAGAAAGCAAGTAAATGCTAGCTTGGGTCTTGAATGTCTCCCAAGGCCCACGTGTTAAAGGCCTGGTCCTAGGCCACAACACTCTTGGGAGGTAGTAGTGAGAGGTCGTGGGTCCTTGGGGGCACGCCCTTGAAGGTGACGGCGGGATGCTGGTCTCCTGATTTCTTTGTGCCCCTGCCATGAAGTGAGCAGCTTTACTCCACCATGTGCTCCTGCCGCCTATAATCCTCCTCGCCATGGGCCTCAGTCAAGTGACCACAGGCCAAAACCTCTGAAACCTTGAGCCACATAAACCTTTCTTCTTAGTAAGTTGATTATTTCAGGTACTTCATTATAGGAACAGGAAGCTAACTAACACACAAGACTAGAGTAGTTGAAAGCATACAACTTGGATCTAAATGCCCGATCCTTTGGGCCACCAGCTGGCCGGCTGTATTACTCAGTTACTTACTTCTCTAAACACCTGTTTCCTCACCAGCCCAATGGAGCCAATAATGGTACCTGCCTCACAGGGTGCCAGAGACGAAGTCATACATCACCCACCTCCTAGAACCTGGCAAGTACGCCACACATTTTGTGCTAATCACTGATCCTCCACTAGCCAGAACCTCAGTTCCCTAGGGGCAGAGCCTGAACTTGCCCTTGCACAAGCAGCTCAGGCAAAGGTGGAGGTGGTGAGGGACTGGTGGAAGCTAGCTGGGCCAAGTGAGGCTTCTGGGCCAGGACATGGCTCTGCTGAAGTCCAGCTTTGCAGCCAGGCCCTCTGGGTGAGGCCGATGTGCACTCTGACTCTGCTTGAACTCTAGTTAGTTGTGTGTTGTCACAGGCAGAATCTCCAGGCACTTCCTGGTCAGGGAGCTCCAACCAGGACAACTCAGAACTGCAGAGCAGTGAAAACTTAGCAGTTAACACCCACACAGCCAGGCGGTAAAGGGGTCTGGGTACGACCTCTGGGACTCTGATGCCCACAGAGCTACAAACAAGGGCAGTTAAGTGCAGAGGCACAAGTGCTGTGCCTAAGATCTCAGAGCTCAGCGGCAGAGTGTTCCACAGGAATCCATAGGTCATGGATTCCAGATGGGACTGCAGATGCCCCTCAAGTGACAGGACTGGGAAGCAGGTGCCTACAGGAGTGGGCAGGGAAGAAGCATGCAATCTGATCATGTGTCAAGAAAGCCGTAAACTTGGGACAGTTCAAATACAGCCACCTGGTTCTTACACAGAAGTCTGAATTCTTAAAGACACTGAGGGGCCAATCCACATTCCACCCTGCCCTCTACGGTGGTCCTGCTCTCCTGGGAACTGAGACAGGAAGGACAGAAGTGATAGGGCCTGTGCCCACTCACTCACCTCTTCCATGTTGACCTCGAAGGGCCCAGTGGACTGGCACTCGGGACAGGAACCTGGCTTCACCTCCTGGTTCTGGGACTGACAGAAAGGCCCCAGAACAAAGCTGCACTTGCTGCAGTTGTACTTGACCATGCTGAGCTGTGGCAGGACGCCTGTGCAGCTGGTCACCACACCGCTCGTGCGGATCAGCTGGTTCAGATGCAGCTGCCTGGAGGACGGAGGCCCCAGCCCAGGGGGAGAGAGGACATCAGAGACTGGGGCCCAGGTGTGTGGACTGATGGGCTAGCCTGCACCCCACTGGATCCCGTCACCCACCCACAGCTCACCTCAGCGAGCGCAGCTCTTCCACAAGAGGCAGGTGAGAGATACGGACATAGACGTGGCCAGCAATACGGTCATACTTGGGGTACATGGCCAGCACCACCTCCAGGGCGGCCTCATCAAAGATCTGCAGCAGCTCTGCGGGTGCCTCTGGCAGAAAGTAGGCCAGGACATGCTCCCGGGCTGCCAGGTCCTCGTAGTTCACCACCAGGCTCTCCCGGTTCTCTGCAGGTGGGTGGGTTGGGAAGACACTCAGGAAAATTTCCTTCTCACCACAGTGCCTGGGTGAGCCAAGCCCACCCACCCAAGTCTGATTGAGTCAGAAGTCCCAGTCTTCAGTTTGAAGCCCACTGCACTTCTGACTGGTGACTAGTGACTTAGATCTAAGTGACACGGCAGGACTCAAATTCCTGCCCTGCTAAATGGACAAGTCAGTGTTGGAGGTTGCTGGGGAGTTAAATGAAATGGAAGAGTGTCTACAAGCCACAGACTTAGTATGCCACAGGGCCAGGCAAGAAGCCTGGGGAAAAAAACGAATCACACACAAGGGAACCGGGAGCAGAACCACCGCAGGAAACAAGGAGACTGAGGCTCAGGCTCCAGACAAGTCACCAAATGTCCCCTGAGGGGCAGGGTGCCAGAGCCCCACCTTTGCACATGTCACTGATGCGTTCCTTGAAGACATTGTGGCCGTGGCTGTCCACGTGGGTGCGCAGGAAGTTCTTGAAGCGGTGGTGGATCTCTAGCCGGGGGCCCGCCATGCTCACCCACTCGCGCACAGAGTGGCCTTTGAGGTCCTCCAGGTTCTCGATACTCTCGATCATTTCCTCGTCCTCCTCCCCGTCCTCTGTGGCCCTCTCCACCTGGCGGCGCTTGCGGGTGGGGCGCTCATCCTCCTCCTCATCGCTGTCTGCAGAGGTGAGGAGCACCTGTGATCGAAGTCTCCTGGCCTCTCTACCCCCAGTCTTGGACCAGCCCAGCCCCTCTAGTATGTGGACACCAAACCTACCATACAGGAGTCCTCGACGCATGCGGCCCAGGCCCCGGCCGGCCTCCCGGTCCCGCTGCTGCATGGCCCGTTCTGCTGCCTCCCTCTGGCTGGCTGTCAGCTCCTCCACATCCTCGTCGTCCAAAGCCAATCCCTCAGCCTCATAGGCATCCAGCTCCGGGATAGCACGGTAGTCCCTGAGAGAGCACCAAAGTGGACATGTTAAGTTCCCCCCCCCAAACCCCACCCAGGAACCAGGCACAGGAGCCCCAGCCTGGCCAGGCCTGAGGCCGCCAGGTCCAAAACACCAAAAACTCCAAAGGGTCTCTAAGTTTCAAATAAGTAGATACTCCTTCTCCAAGAAGGCAAAGCAGAAGCCCCACTTGTGGGCTGCGCTGTCCCTGGAATGTCCTTCAGAGCCCAGCATGGAAAGGAGGAAGAACAGTCTTACCACGGGAGATCTGACAGGAGTTTACTTCAGCTAGGCAGGGAAACAAAGCCACATTCAGAGGTATTCTGCTGACACCATGTGCCCTGACTATGATGGGAGGAGCCAAGCCTGACCTCTGTGGTCTCCCCCCACATCCACGATCCTAGTCTAAATAACAGTCGCAACTGAGGGACATTTTCACAGAATCTGACTAGCACTCCTTTTCCAAGTCATCAAAACCTGGAAATACCACAGTGAAGAACAAAGTGAGGAGTTGCATTTAAATGTAGCAAGGTACCCTGAGGGATCCAAAGGCAGCAGCTGTGAGTCAAAGTTTGGTTAACAAAAATGTTTAAAAAAAAAAAAAAAGGAGGGGGGATTCAGTAAACACCTTGACTCCAATGGAAATGAAAGTCACTAAATCATACCTGCTCTCAATAGAAGGAGAACAAAATGGGAAAACCTCCAGACCCAATGAATTAAAAGGGCATTTTCCCCAGGCTTTCTCTGTCTCTGATCCCACTGCCTTCACAGGCCTGGTGTCGGGAAGCGCTTTGGTACATAGTTGACCAGACCAGCCTCTGAAGCACTTGCCCACTGGCTGGACCCTCTGACCCATCTGATCCTCAAATACCCATTTTCCACATGAGCCTCTTTCTAATACTTGAAATAACAGCTCGCAAAGGAACCCACTGAGAGCAAAGGAGTGTACCTCTGTCCCTGCAGTCAGGTAGGTATTTTCACCATCATTTTAAACTCAAGCACACTGGTGTCTGAAGGGGTGATGGAAATTCTGACAACAGCTGCTCATCAGGGCTGAATGTTAAAACAGAATCCCAAGGGGATGAGTCTAACAAAGGTGCACCGTAAACACATGAAGATGTGACAACTCCCCCCACCCAACCAATAAAAATGTTTAGAAAAACACCCAAACAAAAACAGTCCCACCAAGCTTCTTCCCAGGGATCCTGTGGCCTCCTAAATCAAGCCTCTGGGTCGGTGTAAGTGGCAGTTTTTTTTTTTTCTTGGTTTTGCAGTAAATGCTGTCAAACTACACTCTCAGAACAAATGACTCCACAGCACTGATGCCAAAACTGAACCCAGAGCCAAGTGAAAGTCTGGGCTGATTCAGGTCAGACCTCTTCAGTATTCCCAGGGAAACACATCTATCTGTCTGATTTCAGGTCACAGGAAATGCTCTCAGGAGAACTGTAATCAGTCTGTATTAAAAACAAATAAACAAGAAATAAGTTGGACTTCATCAAATCTCCAAACTTTTGCACCTCAAGAGACAGCATTTAAAAAATGAAAAAGACAAGCCAAAAGAGGACATGGATCTAAAATAGGTAAAAAAACTTCTACAACTCAGTAGCAAAAAGTCAAGAAATTCAATTCAAAAACAGGCAAGGAATCCGAACAGATCCTTTCCAAAGAAAATCCAGAAATAGCCAAGCATGTGGGAAGACGCTTGAGACCACTGGAGGTCAAGGGAAGACGCTTGAGACCACTGGAGGTCAAGGAGCTGGAAATGCACACCAGGAGCCACCACCTCACCCCACCAGCTGGGGAGGTACAGAGCCAGGTCCTCCCACACTGCTGGCAGGAGAAGCTGGGAAGGCATGCAGCTGCTCTTGGAGTACAGTCTGGCACTCCTCAAAAACCAAACATACATCAACATTCATTCCTAGATACAAACCCAACAGAGCTGAACACGTGCCTACATAAAGACCTGTATATAACAAGTGCAAAGCCCTGAGTTCAAACTCCAGTACTACCAAAAAACCCAAACAAAAAATTAACCTGTACATGAATGTCCACGCAGCAATATTGAGGGCAACCAAAGACTGAAACAAACTCAAATGTCCAACTGATAAATGGATAAATACAATGTGGTATGTCTACACAATGGGACTTTATTCAGTCATGAAAAGGAGTGGAATGTGACACTTGCTACAGTATGGATGAAAACACTGAACGACTACATTTGTATGCAAGGCCAGGACTGGAAGAGCTGAAGTGTTCTAACACTGGGATGTAGCAATGTTTTTACAACTCGGGAGGCTTACACTGAATTTGCCTCAAATACTTACAAGGATAAATTTTACAAATTATAGCTCAATATAGCTTAAAACAAAAAACAAAACCCAAACCGGGTCTAGATAGTCTTAAGATACTCTATCCAAGGGTCCCTCATTCTGAAGGTAAAGGAAGCAAACAGAAGGACTGGGTCAGAAGGAAGGTGGCAGGCGAGGGCACCCGGCCCCAGCAACCCCATAAGCACAGAAGAAGGAGGCCAGACCCTATGCGCAGAGAAGGTCTACACAGACTCTTCACTCTCTCCTGTCTGGCACGAACCACACACCTAGTCTCATCGTCTGAGCTGACAGTGCTTACAGCAAAGGCCTGTAAGGTCCAGAGTGCCCTGGGAATTCTCTGATGTCAGGCTCACTCCCATGGACTGAGCGGTGACCTCACACACACTGAGTTTGCTAAGGAACACAAGGACAATTTCCACAGAGCTCCAGGGCTCTGTAACTCCGCTACCACCATCGCTACCCAATCCCGGCTGTACCAGTGGGCAGGCAGAAGCAGAACTCACCTTGCTGGTTGGCAGGACCTATTGCAATACATCTAGCATCAAGCCTCAACACCCTAATACACATTAATATTTCCACACAGGGCCCGGTACAGCTGGGTAAAATGAATGTTTGCTGACTGAATCAATTTCCATAATCAAACTCACTCCACACAATGTTTGTTTGAGTTCTGCCTTCTGTCCGGTGCTTCGAGGTAAGAGATTGCCAGGATTCATATCCCATGGAGCCCAGGAGGTGGCAGGAGAGATGACACCTCCAGATCTTAGGTACATCTCTGGGTTGTACACAGCAAGTTAAATGGATCTGTGGAACCATCTCCCAGCAGTCGCTGGACCAAGATGCACTCACAGAAAGGCAAGAATCCACCAGATTCATCTCCCCACCACCCAAAGCTGGACCACCAGACACAAGGTGCTCTCTTTCTGAGAAGCTACATGTGGAGTGCAGGGCCTCAAGTGAAAATACCTCTCCATGCCATCACCAATGAGCTCTTCCCCATCCTCTTCTTCCTCCCCGGGGCCCTCTGTGCCTAGCAGCCCCTCGGACTCATCCTCAAATGGGGGAAGGTCACGGCCGGGGCTGGAAGTCAGGGCATCCGTGCGCCTGGAGCTCCGTCCAGGGCTGGAGGTGAGGGGATCATTGGCTCGCCGCCGCCGGGCAGGGCTGGAGGCCACTGAGAAGGACTCGGACGATTCCTGCAAGAGAAGCAGCTACTGTCAAACACCTGGCGTGGATGAGGACTGATGCAGCTTCCTTCCTATCACAGGGAGGTCTCCTTCCTGTCTCCTCTCTCACCAGGTCCAACCCCCCACCCCACCCTGGTCCTTTGCACTTGCTGTTCCGTGTCTGCAGTGCAGTGCTCTCTGGCAGAGCTAAGGTGGCATTTCCTGCCACACTCCGGGTCACTCACATCACGCTGATTTCCTCATGACGTCACGGAGATTATGTTTTTTATTTACGCATTTATCATCTACTTGCTCCCCCTTAAGCGGGCACGCGACCCATCTGGGCCCCCACAATATGCCAGATGCAGTGATATAGCAAATGGGAAACGAGAGCCATTCAGATGTAATTGGTTTGGAACTCAGACTAGCAGAGGAAAGCGACAGTCCATAAAGGACGGGGAAACCTTACAGTGAGGATAGCAGGGCGAGGCGCCGGGCCTGGGCTCCATCCCCAGCACCCCCTCCCCCAATGCAGGGAAATGCCGGGGTCACGTCCGCCCCGCGCGCCCGGGGCCAGGCGGAGGACACCCAGTTAAGCACGTGCGGGGCGAACAACGATCCGGGCCTGCTGGGGCAACGAGCCCCGCGGTGCAAGGCTGGTGCGGGGTTCGGAGTCACCAGGCGGACCCGGCGGAGCGGGCCCCGCATGAGGAGCTGCAGGAGAGAAGCCGGCTGCAGAGCGGGGCTGGAGGACCGAGTCGCCCCAGCGGGGCGCGGGTCAGAGAACCAGAAGCGCGCGGCCTCCGCACCCCGTCCCCGGCGCCCTCCCCAGCTCGATCCCCGCGCGCTCACCGCCATCGCTGCTTCGCGTTGCAGTCCGCTCGGCACCTCCCGCCACAGCCAGATTTCGCGCGAAAAGTGGCCCACGTGACCAGCCCGAACCCGGGAAGCGCCCGAAAGAAGGCGACGTCATGACGTTGGCGTCCATTTGCGTCAGGCGAGCGGGCGGGTGAGGGGCGGGCCAGATTGTTCGGTCCCGCCTGCGCCGCCTGGGGCCCTGCTCTCATGGGATGGAGACCCCGCCCACACCACCTATGGTCCCGCCCACACCGCCTGGAGCCCCCCTCGAGGCCCCGCCCATGCCGCCCGGGGCCCGCCCACACCACCTATGGTCCCGCCCACACCGCCTGGAACTCCGCTCGAGGCCCCGCCCACACCACCTATGGTCCCGCCCACACCGCCTGGAACTCCGCTCGAGGCCCCGCCCACACCACCTATGGTCCCGCCCACACCGCCTGGAACTCCGCTCGAGGCCCCGCCCATGCCGCCCGGGGCCCGCCCACACCACCTATGGTCCCGCCCACGCCGCCTGGAACTCCGCTCGAGGCCCCGCCCACACCACCTATGGTCCCGCCCACGCCTCCTGGAACCCCGCCTGAGGCCCCGCCCATGCCTCCCCGGGCGGGACCAGAGCCACTGCGGGCGCTGTTTCTTAACTCTGGCTGTTGGCTGCGCACCAGCAGCAAAGGTGTCTGAGCTGGAGCCCTGCTGGTGGCTTTGAGGACCAGCGCCACCTCCTCCTACCTGTGCGACCTTAGTCACGGTATGGCCATTTGATAACCCAAGGCAACTGAGACCCAGAGCCTTGTTTTCGGAGGGCTTGTTTCCTGTCTTACGAACCGTCAGTTTCAACTTCTCCAAAAGCTCTAAGGCTCAATGCTTCAAGCCCCCAGACAGCTCCGGGATTTTGTAGGAGGTCACGTCTGGTGTCCTGGTAGGAGTCGTCCTCGGCAAGAGTAGCAAAGGTGCAGGGAGAGTGTTCGGACAGAATGTCGCGCGTGTGCACAGCCGGAGGGAGGACAGCCCGGTGGCACGTGGAAGCCGCTCCTTAGCTGTGGCTAACACGCGCGGTGCCCAGGAAGGACGAGGCTGGAGGCTGGAGAGCTCAGATGCTGCGACACCTGCAAGTCTTTTGGGGTCTGAGGTATATCCTGAGGGCAGTGCAGGGCTAGCCCGGGTTTTGAGCAGGGTAAGGGCTTAAGGATCCTCAGGCTACCGCCCTGTGGAGCCGGTTGAGCCACGTTGGAGGCAGCAGATGACTATGGGGGCTCGTGGTTCTTCCTCCAGTGGGAGAGAAGGGGGGATTCCCTCCCCCCTCCCAGGGCATGTGTCCCAGTGAGCAGGGCAGGGCCTGGCCTGTGCCCTCTTAACCAGATGCTTTGGGCAGTGAACAACATGTCTGGATAGGACCCAGGGTAGGGGTCAAGGGGTAGAGAGAGATGGGAATATCCAAGGACGTTCAGGAGGAGGGGTCTGTAGGCCTTGGTAATTAAGGACCGTATTCAGAAGCCCAGCAGGTGGCCCACACCTGTAACCCCCAGCACTTAGGAAGCTGAGGCAGGAGGATAGGGAGTTCAAGATCAGCCTGGGCTACATAGGGAGACCCTGCCTATTAAAGGGCTGGGTGGGGTGGCTCATGCCTGTACTCCCAGGCTGGGTTAGGAGGATCAAGGTCCAAGGCTGGTCAGGGCAAAATCCGAAAAAAATGAGATTAAAGTAAAAAGCGCTGGGGATGTAGCACAAGTGGTAGTGCACTTGCCTCGCTCCTCAGTGCCCTGAGTTCAAACCCCAGTACCGCCTCCCAAAAAGAACCAAAGCCTTGGGAAGTTCCCCAGGATGTGGCTTAGCTAGATGGATGGTCGCCCCACCTGTGGGACGGACACACCGTAGGGCAGTGCGTGAGCTTGTTCCTGGCTGTGTTGAGTGTGGGCCCCGAGTGAAGACTCCAGAACACATTGGAGTTTTCACTGGTGGACTCCCGGGCAGTCTGGGCTGCAGCGGGATTGCTGGGTAATCCCTCCTTTGCGCACTTTCCGCTCATTCGCAGTACCTTGGTTTTTTTCATGGACCATCACAGTGGTTTAAACTGAACGGGCCTGGTAGAACCCAGATCAGGAGGGCCACTCTGGCCTCGTGGTCACCTCTGTTCCTTAGTCATCTCTGCCAGCGTTTTGAAGGGTGCCCTGTTCTCTGCTGTGGATGCTCTGGTCTCATTCCAGAACCCTTGGCGGGTGGTTAACCCCCCAGGGCTTGCGGCCGGCGTGTCACGCAGCATGTTTTCTGGCTACGTGCGCCTCTAGCACCCTGGGGCTGGGCGTCTTGTGGTGTCGCAGACAGCCCTTTCCTGCTGTCAGCTTCACTCCAAGCGGAAGGCATTTGTCTCCCAGAGACCCCTGGGCCATCATTCCCGCCTGTGGGAAGTGCTGCTTGCAGAGACCCGACGTGCCCCTCAGAAGTAAGGACATACTATGTCCAAAAAGGAATGCTTCCTTTACCTTGGAGGCGGTGACCCGGTTACCCCAGACTGCTGGACCCCTGTGAGCGTCTCGGACGTGAAGCCCCCAGTTCCTCATAGGGCTTATCCTCCACTCTCGGGAACACATATGTCTCCTTCACTTGTCACTTCTTGCTCCTCCGGCCTGATTAGCCCTTTGCCACCCGTAGAGTGAACCAGCACTGTGCACTGTGTTCTGCAAAGTGTCCAAATGGCTTGGTCCCTGCCAGATCCCGTGATGGCAGAGGGGGGTAGAGATTACCTTGGGCCTGGGGCAGGACCATGCGGGCGCACTGTCCCGTCCCTATGGAAGCAAATGACTTTTGAGAGGGAGGAAAGGAGACATGGTCAGGTGGAGAGCCGTACCCACACACCACCTGAGGACAGTCCACCTGTGCCAGCAATGACAGCCGCAGGGCAGCTGAAGCCAGGGCTGCTACCATTCTGTGGATTCTTCTGGGGCCAGGCTGATGAATTAAATAAGAACACAGAGGCCTCCGACACCCCCAGTGCCTTAGGTCTTCACGGTGGCCGGATCGCGGCCATTTTCTCTGCTCTGTTACCTTGTTTTTTATTTAGTCTCTTGGCTGGAGTGGGTGGTGTTGGTGTAAGAGGGGTTTTCACTCACCTTCCAGCACCAGGATATCTCCCATCCCACAGACCAAGAAACCAGTGGGGCATTCTGCTGGCTCTTGAGTGTCTGTCCCAGTGACACAACCAGCCTCCCTGGCCCACGACTTTGGCCTGGATAGTCACATTATGATTGCACCCTGTTATTTCAGGATCGCCGTCATCCCTATGGCTGCCCAGTTCTGCAGCAGCATCTCCCAGAGTCAGCTGGGGCCTGGCGAGGACTGTACCTAGCCTGCACCCGGTGCAGAGTGTGGAGCAGCACCTGAGTGACAGACCTTCGTTCATTAAACTACTATGTACTGAGCTCTGTGGACGCCACGCTCTGTCCTGTGTGCAGGGGAACTGCAGTGAATGAACCACTGCCTCTGCCCCCAACAGGAAACATGTGAAATGAATGCCCTGGCTTATTCCACAAAGGCGTTAAGATCCCACAGAAACCTACATGTGGGGTCCGAAATTCAAGAATAGAAAGTGCAGTATGACTGCATTGTGGCAGTGAAACCCCCTGCCCTCTCAGGAAGCCTGTAGTCTTAAAAGAAGAACGATGGAGGCAGTCATTAAGTCTGACCGCCATGGCCGGTACCACCTCCCTCCAGGCACAGGGTGGGTCAGTGGTGTCCTGTCCCCTGGGCCAGCAGCAGGCTTGTTTTTCCCAATTAAGGGTGAGCATGGCAGTGTGTATTTCTTGGCAGGAATGAGAGGAGCTGGGGTGATTGATTTCCCATAGCCCACTGTGGCTGTGGTCACCAGTGCCCACCAAGGCAGGCACTGCCCAGCCGCTCCAGCTAATACAGAAACTGACTTGCACATCTGACTGGGCTCCAGACTGAGAAAGTCCCAAACAAGCCAAGACCCATGTCCCGGGAGGCAGGAGAAGGACTTGGCCCACACTCCAGTCCACTGTGTTGTCGGGTGGTGTGCACTGGGGTGACTGTAATAACCAGGTGCCCGCACCTTGCGCCAGGAGCTGAGTCACTTCAGGGTGCTACAGGGACACAGCAGGGCTGAGCCCTGGTGACACTAACCTCGTAGGGATGCCTAAGGGGGAAGCAAGCATGTGAATCCCATTTAGTGAGGCAATGGCAGTGCTGGGAGGGAAACACAAGTGCTTCATAGAGCCAGCCTGGCAGAGGCAGACACAGGCTTGTAATCTCCGTGTGGCTTGAGCGTGGCAGGTGAGGGTGGGTAGGAGGTGGACTCAGAGGCGCGGAACCAGGTCTTGCAGAGCAGCCCTTTAGATGCTAGCACAGCACAAATGCCAGGGAGGGGGGGGGAGGGGGAGCAGTCAGGGAAGCCTTCCTGGAGGAAGCTGCTGAAGAATCCTTAGGCGTGGGGAGGGGCAGTTCCAACTTTGGCGTCGTGACTTGGTCACTTCCTAGTTGGGTGGCTTTGGGTAAATTCCTTAAACCCTGTAAGCCTCAGGTTCCTCCCTGCAAAATGCGAGTAATGGCATCCAGCCTGCAGGGCTGCTGAGATTAGTGGTTGAAGCGCTGTCGGTGCCCAATAAATGCCAGCTCGCTTTGATGGTGGACGTCCACGCGGCGTCCGTGCTGGTGGAAACTCAAGAGGAAGGGCTTCCCTACCCTCCCTTCCTTCCTGGCCCAGGTGACCAGAGGTCACCGCTGTGGGGCGCCCGAGGCGGCGGCACGCGAGGAGCGGACCCCGAGGCTCTGCCCGACGATCCCGCTGGGAGGTGAAGCGCCAGCCGCAGCGATCTGGCCGGTGGTCAGCTGCTGACAGCTGGGGGGCGCGGGACCAGAGGTGGAGCGTCTCAGCTCCGGAGCGTGAGGCCCCGGCCAGCTTTCCGGGTAAGTAAAGCAGCAGCTTCTGGCCCGGGCTTCGCTGGTGTACGGTCTCTTTAAGAGTTCCTCGGCTGCCCCGCCCCTTGCGGAATCTGATTGGTTCTTCCCGCTCGTTTCGGTGGAAGTCCTTTCCTATTGGCTCCTGGGGGTCGGAGGGAGCCCGAGCGCTAGCAGCAGGGACTGTGGCTGTTTTTCGCAGTTCTCGCTGGACGAAAAAGACTGTCCCGCTTCTGGGTCGCCGCTGCCGGGAAGGGCCACTCGGTGGCTTGGGGGCCGGCGGACGCTACTGGTGGACGACGTCCCGCCTAGTCCACCTACCCCACTTCCGGGGAGTCCGCCGCCGCGGCCCCTGCGCGACGCTCCCCGGCCCGGGCCGCCAACCCCGGCTGGAGGCCGAGACCCGCGGCCTGTGCGCGTCGGACCGCGCAGCCCCGGTGGTGGCGGGGGGCGGCCCGGGCGGCCGGGGCTGACCCGCGCCCTCAGGTAAGGGCGGCCCTCTCCTCGTCTCCTGCTAGGCCACAGCTAGCGAGGGAGCCCTGTCCCCGCGCCGCACTTCCCCGGGACAGGGACACCTGTCCCCCTCCTTTTCCCACGAGTGTCCCCTTCGCACATGGGCCGCACCTCGGGGACGTTGCCCAGGGCGTCGGGTCGGGGGACGACAGGCGGAAGGCAAGGGGTGGCAGGAGCCCCCCAGGGGACAGGGCAGGGGGCCGGGGGGGCAGTGACCACAGCTGCAGGGGCCCGGGCCCTGTGCTCCAGGCCGGCGGGACCGGCCTGTGGCCGTGTGCACATGGGGACAGTACCCTTCCGTCCACCGTGCTGTATAAGCTGAGGCTGTGACTGTCCACCTGCTGTCCACCAGCGGCCATCTGAAGGCTCAAGGATCGTTCCTGGGCTTGTGGAAGCAGGGGGGACTTTGCGTCCCAGCTCTGCAGCGAGGAGGAGCTGTGCGGTCCCCTTCAAATCCTCCCACTGCCCTGTGCTGGACATTGAAGAGCTCACCCTGTAGTGTTTTGTTGAGAACTAACTTTGTGCTGGCTCTGATATAGGTGACAGATGCCAGACTGTGTCCCTGAGTGTGTGTACACAGTGAGAGCACCTCAGAGGGACACCAAGTGTGGTAGAGGACACTCACTTGGGCTAATCAGGAGGGCTTCTTGGAGGAGGGAAGGAGAGCCAGGCTCCAGCAGTGAGGTCAGGCTGGGGGAAGGTCAAGCACAAGGGCCCTGAGACTGCCTAGCAGGAAGAGCCAGGTGCCAGCTGGTGGTGGGCAGAGCAGGGGGCAAATGACATGGGCCTTCCCTTCCTCCTGGTGGCTCCTGCCCCAGGCTGTTGGCAGGACTAGTCTCCTTAAGACTGTGTCCAGAGTGGGCAAGGCCCTTGTGTGTGTGGGAAGGTTCTTGCCCTGCATGAGTGCGACCAGGGACAGCCTGCCTGGTGGGTGGCCACCGAGGGCGGGAGGAGGTGAGGTCCAGCGGTGGGTGAGAGGAGGCCTCTGGAATGTTCCTGAGGTTGAGAGCTGCCTTCCCATGTGGTAGAAACAGTGAGTCCCAGTTCTCTGGTCCTGAGGTCTGGGTCCCCAGGGCTCCCTGCATCCCCACCTCTCTGAGGTGTCCACCCACTCCTTCCTCTGTTGCACTCAGCCATCCTTTTTTCTTCCCCCTTCTTTCTGACCCACCAGCCCCTCCACTTCTCTATCATTTGGGGGAAGGAGGAGGGCTGTGACTGTCTCCAAGACCAAGGCCAGGAGCTTCTGTAAGGGACAGGCAGTGAGTGCCAGGGTGGGGGAGGAGACAGTTCAGACTCACTGAACCATGTGTTGAGGGACATCAGGGCAGAGAAGGACCCTTCCTGGGCCTGTCCTTCCATCTGTACGATGGAACACTGCTTGTGCCCTGTCTTAAAGGCTGTGTGACCCTTCAGTGTGGTACCTGGTGAAGTGTCAGCACTGAGCCTGCACATAGAAGATGGCCTTGACATGTTTTTCAGGTCATTTCTTAAGGTATTTTAAAGCCATTGCACATAATGGCAATTCTGTGTGGCCAACACCCTCCCGAGTCCAGGGTAGCTACTGGACCCACAGCAGTGGTATGGGGACGATGAACATTGGGCACCTCTGGAGCAAGAGCCTGTCAGCAGTGTGCAGCCGTGTCCTCACGAGCTGCGACACACAGCTCTGACTCCCGCCTGGTGCCCCTGACCCCAGGTGGAGAAACCAGGTCAGCACCTGTCCAGCTGCTGATCTGGGGCCAGGGCTCTAGAGACAACAACCTGGCCTGCAGTGGCAGGTGGCCAGGCTTCTGAGCTCGGAGCACTGGGGATAAAAAAGAGCCATCTCTGGGCTGGGAGGCCCCAGACTGCTTTCTGCTTTTCCTGGTTGTCAGAGGGGAGTGGGCGCAGGGAGAGCAGCCACCCCTCCCTGGCCTTTCCCCCAACCCTTCCCCAGTAAGAAGAGCAGCAGTGCCTATGCGTGTCACTGCTGTGGACCAGACTTATCTGGCAGCCTTGTTAGGTAGGTGTTATTGTCCCCATGATACTCAGAGGAGTGAAGTGACTCACCCAGGGTTACACAGCAAGCATGTAGCAGAGCTAGTAGTGCAGCCCAGGCTGCCCAACTTGATAGCCCAGGACAGCTGGAAGGTTTTCAGTGAGAAATCAGAGGACTCAGACTCCAGCTGGCCTAGGCAGGAGGAGTTTTGGAGTTTTATAACTGAACAGTCCAAGGGGGTAGGATTGGAGCCAAATGTGGCCAAATCTAGGAGCTCACATGAACTATAAGGGTCTATCTGTGCCATCTCCCAGCTCTGTGCTCCTTTTTCTCACAGATGTGCCCCAGCTAAGGATTAAAGTGGTTATGTCAACAGAAAGAGCGTCTGCTTCCTGATGGTGACAAGCAAAGTTCTCAGGGCAGATTCTCACTGGACAGGATGAATGGATGTCCTGAGTGGCCAGGCAGAGGTCACATTCCTGGAGTTGGGTCAGGGTGGAGTCTGCCATACCTGAGCCTCACAGCCGGCAGAGGAAGGAAGCTCCCTGAGGAAGGCCGGGCCCTCTGTAGCCGCTCCCCTCTGTCCACACTGCTGACACTAGTTCCCAACACTAGCCTCTCCCGGGGACTGTGGCAGTAGCTCCTCACGGTCCCCCTGACTCTCCTCTCCTCTCACTGCAGTCCTTCACAGCAGCCAGGGTGACCCTGTCCACATGAAGTGGGACTTGTCACCTCCCTCCCTGCACCACACCCTTCTCACTGTGCTTAGAGAGAGGTCACACTGCATGTGTGATGTGACTACATCTGACCTGGCCGCACCAGCCTTTTGATCTCTCCAGCCACCCTGGCCTGATTTTGCCCTCTGGCCAACCTCAGGGCCTTTGCGTTCATCCACTGTTGCATTCCTCAGTTCTCTTTATCAGACTCTTCAAGGCTGTGTCCTTCTGAGTTGTTTAGGTCTCAGTTCAAATGTCATCCTGCATGACTCTTACATTTACTGGAATTCAGGCTTAGCTGTTGAAGCAAGGCCAAGATAATAAGGTAGAAAATACCTATTATCTGTTGTGTGATAGTCTGCGAGCAGCCAGGACAGCTTCTTTCTTACTGCTTTGTAATCCTCAATACGTGCTTTTGATCTCATGCTGCTCTTGCTCCCACATCACATCCATATTCTAGCTGATGGGAAGGAAGAATGGTATAACCTGAAACTGGCAAACTTCACTGTGCGTGTCATGGTGCGTAGAACTCAGCCACATGGCCACACCCTCCTGCAAACTAAAGTCCATGGTTCTTCTGTCCAAGGAAAGGGTGGGTGTGGGGAGCCCACAGTCACTGCTGTGGTCTTTTCTTAGTACCTGTCTCTGGAATTGCTCCTTATGTATGGGGCCTCCTGCCTGCTCACCTGCCCTCTCTGGAGGGAAGGCCCCTCAAGGGCAGGGCCTTGCCTGCCTGTTTCCTGCCCAGTCAAGACACTGGGCTGTGTCTGGTGTGTAGCAGGTGTTCTAAGTCTAGGGAAAGAGCATGGGGGTGGAGTGGGGGAAGGGCGGTGGCTTGTTCTCTCCCAGTGGTGAGGCCCAGGATACCAGGTGCCACTCATGCATCACCCTCCTCCGTGTCCCCACTGTACAAGCAGAGGCGTGGGCTCTCCAGTGGAAGAAAGGACAAGAGGTCTGAGCCCCTTAGGAGTTTTCCTGTTCCTTTCCGCAGAAGTGGCCCTAGCATAGCAGGTCATGGCCCAGACGGTGTTGAGAATGTCCCTAAAACTCCTGCTGCTGCTCAGGGATGGTGTTGGTGACAGCGCACAGAGCTCCTGTATTGGTGTGGGTCTAGTGGACAGAGCACAGAGCTGGCAGGCCCTCAGGACCGAGGAGTCAAACTTACTTTACTCTGAGGAGTTGTTGGAGTAAAGCTTACTGGGGGTAGGAATCACAAGTATTCAGTCATTGAACGCCCTTTCCCCCACTGCTGGATGGAGACTGGCCTTCCACTTGTGGCCCTCCTTCTGCAAAGGCACCCCAGGCCCTGTCCCTAGGGCTCCCCCCACTCCAACCCCACCAACCCAACACTTCAGCCATTCAGGTTGGTGAGAACTTCATTGCCTTCACCGCCACCTAGTGGTTGATAGGTGAACTGCTGCCGCCTAGGTCCAAGGTCCCCTGTGCTGAGATCCCTCCCCATTGGGCCTCTGCTCAGGTCACTGTTCTCAGTGTTGGCACCTGAAAGTCCAGGTGGTCACCCAACCCTGCAGAGGGTCCTGATGCTGTCCCCCAAAAGCCCTTTGACCCCGGAGTCTGTGTCCGTTTTCCAGCCACACTGTTAGCCCTTCCACCCAGATTGACCCCACACCACCAGCTCTCCAGTCCCCCAGGCGAGGGACTGGACCCTCTCCAGCCTCCCACACAGCAGGGCTGAGCCCAAGCATACTCTGTACGTGGCTCTAGCTTTCCCCAGAGCCCAAGATCCACAGGCAGGAGGGCCATGGCCCCAGGTCTGCTGACCACATTGGCTCCCCCCGCCCCAGGGCCAGCAGCCGGCAGGATGGACACCCTGCAGGAGGCGATCTGGGGTAACCAGAGCACAGTGTCACCCCCACCCTTGGCGCCAAACATCAGCGTGCCTCACCGCTGCCTGCTGCTACTCTACCAGGGCATCGGCACCTCCAGGTGAGGCTGAGTGCTGTGGGCTCCCTGGGGTGGGGGCCTGCACGTGGCCTCACCAGCGCCCGGCTCTGTGCCCCCCACCAGGGTTCGGTACTGGGACCTCCTGCTGCTCGTCCCCAACGTGCTCTTCTTCATCTTCCTACTCTGGAAGCTTCCATTTGCTCGAGCCAAGATCCGTGTCACCTCCAGCCCCATTTTCATCACCTTCTATATCCTGGTGAGTTCACTCTAATTGGTGGCAGAAAACCCAATTCCAGCTTGAGCAAAAAAAAAAAAGGGTGGGGGGGAGGATTTTAAAGAGGAAAGTGACTGCCTCTGTAATCGAAAGTGAGCTTCAGGTATGACTGGATCCAGGGGATTCGCTCATCTCTTTAGGACTCTGTATCTCTGTCCTCCTCTCAGAGGAGAGATGTCCCCATATGGAGTCAAGATGGCCAAGAGCAGCCTTGAGCTGACATCCTGCCCCTCCCAGCTCCATCAGGGAGCACCTCTTTCCTAGTGGGGCCAGGGCAGACCTGGCATCTTCTCTGATTGGTCCACCCTGCATCCCATGTGTATCTCTGGCCAGCAAGAACTTTGGGGGAGGGGTTAGTCAGCTCAGCCCAGCCATATAGACCAAAGGAGGTGGGCAGTCCCCCCAAAAAAAAGTGGGGAACTGGTACTAGAGGGAAGGGAATTGATGCAGGCTGGGGAAAATGTCCACAGTACTCTCCACCCACCATCCATCTGTCCATCTGTCCATCCACGCATCCATCCATCCATCCTTCCTGTGAGGTCTTTGGAGCAGGCTTTCTGCCTGCGGGGAGACCTGTGTCCTCAGCACTTGGTGGTCCTGGTGTGGCTGCCTGGGGAGAGGGGTCAGGACTGTGGTTGACGAAGTACCTCCAGGTGCGGGTCATCCAGGTGTGGGCTCCCTGGGTGCAGGTCAGCTTCCTTCCTCCAGGGTGTCCTCCCCGTGTGGAGGCTGACGACGGGAGCCCTCCCCACCCTGGACTCAGTGATGCCAGCATCTGAATGCTGAGTGGCTTGCTGGGCTTTCTCAGAGGGTGGGAAGTGGGCAGGCAGAGGTCAGCAAGGGTTCGAGGGACCCTGGAGAAGCTGGCGGAGACCCACAGGTGGAAGCTGCCTGCTGTCCTCACTGCTCTGAGGTAGTGGGCAGAGCAGGGAGAAGGCCAGGCTTCTTTCCTGTCCCCTCTGATCCTTAACTCCTTGTCTGCGTACTTATTAGTGGCACTAGGGTTTGAACTTGGCCTTGTGCTCACTAGGCAGGCACTCTACTACTTGAGTCGTGCCCCAGCCATTTCTGCTGTAATTATTTTTCGATTAGGGTCTCAAATTTGTGCACAAGCTGGCCTGAACCATGATCCTCTTATTTATGCTTCTCAAGGAGCTGGATGACAGGCACACACTATTCTGCTTGGCTTATTGGTTGAGATGGGATCTTGATAACTTTTTGCCCAGGCTGGCTTCAAACCTCCATCCTCCTAATCTCTGCCTCCCAAGTAGCTACAATTACAGGCTTGTGCAACTGTGTCCAGCTTGTGTACTTATTTCACAGATACTAAGCACCCACTGTATGCTAGGTAGATGTCCTTTCTGGGGGAGCAGGCAGGGAGCAGGGACTGAGGTCTGAGGCCCAGGAGCACACAGCAGGGCCAGGATGGTCTGTGCTGTGGCAGCCTGCTTAGTTTTAGGGGACTTTGCATCCTAAAGAGCTCAGGAGGCAGTGATAAGAGCAGACTCAGGCAGATGGCCTTTGAGCTCCGGCCATGCTGCTGAGTGATTATGGCCAGTGGGTGGGCCTCTCCGTGCCTCAGTGCCCCCCTGTGTAGTATGTGCTGGTCTAGCATGTGGTGTTCTTCCCAGCACCAAATGAGTCTACATGTGGCAGTTGGTTGCTTTTGTGACCTGCCATGCTGAGTGGGTGTCAGCTCCCCAAGGTGTAGGCACAGCTTTCTGAGCACAAAGGACAGCGTACGTGTGGGCCTGCACGTCAGAAAGTCCGCTTACACTCAGAGAAGCCTGACAACATGTAGTGACTGGGAAGCCGAGAGGTCCCAGGGCTTCAGGCCTGGCTAGCGCTGGAGTGTAGGCCTGCAGCACGGTGGCCTATTCTACTAGCTAAACTGCTGTCCTGGCTCTGTCTGTCACCGGGCTCCCTGGGGTCCTAGCCTCCTCGAGCTAGTATAGAAGTTGGGAATGGTGTATGCAACCGGCCAGTCCTGGGTCACAGGCCTGTCTTAAAAACCAGGAGTGGTGGCAGTGGCTCAGCCTGCCTCACCTGGGACATGTGAAGATGGCGTGAGGAAGAGGACACAAGGCCCATAGGGGCCACAGGTGCTGAGCATGGGCACCTCTTCCCAGCCTGCCTGGCTGGCGGCTCACCCCAGGGTCTCTGCAGCCTCGTTCCTGTGGCCTTTCCTATTCTTTGTGTCTTGGAGTTAAGACATCGATACTAATGCAGCTGGGTACTAGACTTCCTGGCGCCAGGCTTGCTTCGGCCACGCATGTGAACCCACTCAAAGCTCCAGCAATCAAAGGCTGCAGGGCTATTTTACCCCATTTTGTAGATGGGGAAACTGAGGCCCCAGCAGGAGAGCAGAGGGCAGGTACTGGGCCTGGCCTGCCTGGCTCTGCATTGCCCATCCTGCTAACCATGGGAAGCCATCAGGGCTAGTCAGAAAACGGGGCCAGGCCTGAGGGCAGCCACAACTGGGGGGTTCTGAACTGCCTGTGAGCCCAGCTGCCAGAGCCCACTGCTGCCTCCTGTCTAGCATGAAAGCCTGCGCCCAGGGGTGGCCTGCGGTGCCTGCCTGCCACTGCCTTGACTCCATCCCGTCTCCCTCCCTCGCCCTCCAGGTGTTCGTGGTGGCCCTGGTGGGTATTGCCCGGGCAGTGGTGTCCATGACGGTCAGTGCCTCAGATGCGGCAACAGTAGCTGACAAGGTGTGGTGGCAGCTGAGGGATGGCGGGAGGTGTCTTGGGGGCGGGGATGGCCCAGGCTGATGCTCTGCCTCTGTCCAGATCCTGTGGGAGATCACTCGCTTCTTCCTGCTGGCCATCGAGCTGAGTGTGGTCATCCTGGGCCTGGCCTTCGGTGCGTGTGCTGCAGAGACCCTTGCACCTGGGCTGACACTCTGCCTGCCCTCCCCACAGTGACACTGACACAGCCAGTGGGGTGAGCTCCCACTGATGGACCCCTGTTCCTTCCAGGTCACCTGGAGAGCAAGTCCAGCATCAAGCGGGTGCTAGCCATCACCACAGTGTTATCGCTGGCCTACTCTGTCACCCAGGTAAGGGGGAGGTGGAATCAGATGAGCGGCCTGCCCCGGTGCTGGCTGACCTGGTCAGTGGGAGAGGGGAGGCTGGGAGGGAGGCAGGTCTGCAGCCCACCCTGAGAATGGTGCTGAGGCTTCTGTCTGTGCTTTGCTGGTGCCTGCCCTCGGGAGACATGGCCCCAGACTGGAGCTGGAGCTGCACGGCACGCTCAGGGCCAAGCAGAGAAGCCAGGCCTAGTGTGATGGAGGGCTTGCGGGGGGGCTCTGCCTCAGGGGAGGCTTTACGTGGTGGGAGCTGGTGTAACCATCTTCTTGGGGACCTTGCAGGGGACCCTGGAAATCCTGTACCCCGACTCCCACCTCTCGGCTGAGGACTTCAACATCTACGGGCACGGGGGCCGCCAGTTCTGGCTGGTCAGCTCCTGCTTCTTCTTCCTGGTGAGGCCGGGCGGGGACACCTTTGGGGCAGCAGGGCGCCTGCTCCTGGGTCCAGGGCATGCTCTCACCCTGCTGTCTCTGCAGGTCTACTCACTGGTGGTGGTCCTCCCCAAGACCCCGCTGAAGGACCGCATCTCCCTGCCCTGTGAGCGCAGCAGGCCGCCAGGGCGGGCTGGAGCTAGGGAAGGGGGGCTCTGGGGACATCGGGAGGGACCAGGAGGCACTGGGCTTGAGGGGCGGAGGGCGGGGAGGCAGCTGTCCGGCAGGCAGGGGCTCACCACCCCGACCCCGACCCCCAGCACGGAGGAGCTTCTATGTGTACGCGGGCATCCTGGCGCTGCTCAACCTGCTGCAGGGGCTGGGGAGCGCGCTGCTGTGCGCCGACGTCATCGTGGGGCTGTGGTACGTGTGCCGTCGGGGTGGACGGGGCACGGGAGTCCCCCTCGGCGTGGATGGGGCACGGGAGTCCCCGTCGAGGTGGACGGGGCACGGGAGTCCCCCTCGGCGTGGACGGGGCACGGGTGTCCCCGTCGAGGTGGACGGGGCACGGGAGTCCCCCTCGGCGTGGATGGGGCACGGGTGTCCCCGTCGGGGTGGACGGGGCACGGGAGTCCCCCTCGGCGTGGATGGGGCACGGGTGTCCCCGTCGGGGTGGACGGGGCACGGGAGTCCCCGCCGGGGGCGGGCGGGGCACGGGGAGTTCGCCCACTGGGCTTGGGCACAGGGCGGCCAAGGAGGACGGTGGGGCCCTTGGGCCTGGGCCTGTACTGATCCCCCGCTCCTGCCGCAGCTGCGTGGACGCCACCACCTTCCTCTACTTCAGCTTCTTTGCTCCGCTCATCTACGTAGCCTTCCTCCGCGGCTTCTTTGGGTGAGGCCTGCGCCTCCTGCGCCTGCGCGGTGGGGTGGGGCCCTGGCGCGCCTGTTGGGGGCGAGGGGCGCAGGTGCGCCTGCGCAGACTCATGTGCACAGTACGCGCATGCGTGCTGCTGCGTGGGCACAGGAACGAGCTGTGCGCATGTGTGTGCGGTCTGTGCTTAACTCCCCGGCTCAAGCTGTCAGACACTTGTGCCACCAGGCGCTTGGTGCTGCTACTGCAGGGGCTGGGACTGTGTCAGCGATGGGAGGGCCCAGTGGGCCCAGTGCGTGGGTTTGCTGTGTGCACTGGTGTGCTTGAACACTTACGAGGTTGGGACCCACTCACCCCAGGCCTCTGATAGGCTGAGGGCGCCCTCCTCACCCCACCAGCCCGTGGTGCTGGGGGAGGGGGTCTTCCTGAATGGGCGGTGAAGGGCTGGGCTGGGCCCCTGCCCCACTCAGATCTGCGCACTCATCTCTCCCCTGAGCACTCGCGCCTGCCGCTCCGCTATCCTGGGGGTGGAGGGACCAGGTCCAGGACAGTGGGCAGTGACATAAGCTGCAGGGGGTTCCAGGGCAGGGTGGGGTCGCAGCCTACCCTTCCTCAGTGCCCTGGGCTAGGCCCTGGCCAAGGCTCAGTTAGCCTCTTAGTTCCCCACTAGGGCCCATGCCATCATTTTGGGGAAGGAGGTGCAGAGCCACTGACCCAAGCTTTCTCCTGGGGGACGGGCCCGCTTTCAAAACAAGTCTCCTTGGACCAGAATCTTGCTCATGGGGCATCCTGGGTGGGTGTGGGAAGGAAGTCTTTGTCTGAGTCCATGGTGGGGCTGCCCTGCCCCTCTCTCCCATCTCAGCTCGGAGCCCAAGATCCTTTTCTCCTACAAGTGTCAAGTGGATGAGACCGAGGAACCTGATGTGCACCTGCCACAGCCGTACGCTGTGGCCCGGAGGGAGGGCATGGAAGCCACGGGGGCCACCGGGGCCTCAACCTCGTGCTACTCGAGCACGCAGTTTGATTCAGCTGGAGTTGCCTACCTGGACGATATCGCATCCATGCCCTGCCACACAGGCAGCATCAACAGCACGGACAGTGAGCGCTGGAGGCCATCAGTGCCTGAGAGGGCCTCCAAGGACAGACTGACTCCCAGGCAGAGCTGAGCAGGCTTTGGGAGACCAGCTGTGGATAGCAGTCTTGGGCAGGCCTTCCCTGCACCTCAAGTCTGCAGGCCTCTCCTGTTCTCAGGCCCCCAGTGCCCCTTGGCCACCTGTGCTCCAGCTGGGAGCCCCCTCCCTTCCCATCTGCCCTGGTCCTGCTCAGTGCCATGGTCCCAACTCCCATCTCCCAGGCCACAGCCTTGGCACCCAGGTCAGGTTCTGTGCTCTTCTCCTCTCTACCCCCTCACCACAGCACATAGGCCCCGTCAGGACCTACCACCGGGGACAGGCTGCAGCGTGTACATTTTCTTGATCTATTTTTTAATAAAAAAGGAAAAAAGAGCAAAGGGTGTTGACATGGAGGTTTGGTAGGAATGATGGGGCTGGGGCTGGGGAGGGGCTGGGAGGCCTGGGACCTCAACCAAGGGGCAGTCCTCAGGGCAGGCTGTTGGGGAGGGGCAGATATGGGAAAAAAAATCACCATTTCTAGGAACTGAGGTCTCCCCCACCATGATGACCTGCTGTCCTGTCCTTCCCTGCCCCTTATGCTGTTGTCTTCAGCCAGCCACTCCCCCTCCTCAGCTCGTTTTGCCATCTGTAAGATGGTGCTAAGATGGCCTCCCATCGTGCAAGGGGTTTGGGAAGTAATGTGGATGGCGGGTACACTGGTAGTGGACCACCAGTGACAACTCTGGTTATTTTGCTCCTTCAGAGGGGTGCTGAGCACATGGCAGCCAGGCAGAAGGAAGGATGCTGGGGGGGGCATTTGTAGATGGTACATGGAAGACACCACAGAAAGCGCTGGGATTGTAGGATGCCCACAGATGTGCGCTACTGTACCTGCTTTGAGGAGGGGTTGATTAGTCCCCAATGTCCCAGGCAGGAGCCTGCCAAGGTCATAGCCAGGTTGCACCATCAGAGCCTTGAGGTGTGGCAGTGGGGACACCGGCTCCAACAGAGTTTGTAACCGGAGTGCCCAGATCTTAGCTTCCCCTGACCCAGAGGGCAGTCAGTGGAAAGGCTGTCCTCTTGCTGGCCATCTACATGGCCTTGCCTCTGGGCCTGCACATCCCTGGGTGGGTGGGTGGGTGGGTGGGTGGGTGTGTGTGTGTGTGTGTGTGTGTGCAAGTTTTTTTTTTTTTTTTTTCTTTTTTTCTTCAGTACTGGGGTTTGGACGCTGGGCCTTTTGCGTGCCACATTGGCACTCTCCATTTGAGCCACACCCTCAGCCCCTTCTGCTTCAGTTTTCAAGTGGGGTCTCGTGTTTTTATTCCTCTGGCTGGCCTGGTCCTCAGTCCTGCTTACGCCTCCCGAGGACAGTGTGAGCCACTGTGACTGGCCTCAAATCTTCTAAAAGGACGCGAGTCATATTGGATTCGAGGCTGCCCTTACAGCCTCATCTTATCTAAATACTTTTTTGAAGGCCCTTGTTCAAGTTCAGTCACAGTCTGAGGTACTGGGGGTCAGGGCTCAGCACATGGGTCCTGGGGACAAATTCAGCTCATGACAAATGACATTAAAGTCTCTCTCCAGATATCCTACACCAGGCAAAGCCCTGGGGCGTTAACCAAATCTATGGAACAGGTAGAAAGACCCCCCTACTGTGAGGTTAGATCCTCACAGTAGGAGTGAGGCCAAGGCAAAAACCCACAGGCATTCTAGGACACCACAGGTAGGTCTGTGGACAGAATCACAGCACAGCGCAGGTGTGGCCTCCAAGGCCCTTTTCCCTCTGGCCACACACAGGACAGCTGACTGCTGCCCCCTCTGAGGAGGGCTGAGGCCATGGGCTTTCTTTGGCTATAGAGGTGTGACCAGAAGTCATGAGTGTCCCTTCCAGCTGTTCCTCCCCCCCACCCCCATAACTTGCCAGTACCTCACCCATCCTGCAGCTGTCATAGGGCTCCTCTGGCTGCTGCACAGACAGCAACCCACCCTTCATGCCCTGGGAGTGGGGCTTGTCTGTCACTGCAGCACACCCTGGCATGTCCTGATGAAGAGGAAGATAGCCTTGAAACAGGGTCGTAAAACATGGTAAGCTGTCAGTTAAAAGCTGTAACCTCAGACAGAGCTGTAAGGCATGAGGAATTGCCCATTAGAGCCATGCAAAAGTGCAGGGTCCAGGTGAAGGGCACCATGCAGAGATAAGCACTCATTCCTGCATTCCTTTGTCTCCACTTGTAAATAAACTTTCCAAAGCAGGCCTCCCCTGCTGCTCTTATCTGGAACTTAAGTCTCTAATCCACTACTAGCCCTACTTTATGGGAGAGCACATTCCTTGTAACCTGATGCCCTGCACTGCCTTTTAAATATCCTGTGAATTCTTTGCTCAGTGCTCGGACACAGGTACACGTCTGCGCCCGCTAGCGTAAAATTAAAATCTGAGTTCTCCACTCCTCCGAGTTGCTTGGTTTCTTGTACCACGACACTGACTGCTACGAGTGTTAAATGGACCTAACAGTGCTCGACCACCTGGATTCTAACACGGAGAGCGAGGCCTAGGCTGACGACAGTCAGTGGCTCATGGGCCCAGGGACATCGTTCATCCTGACCTCAACAACAGCTCAAAGTCCCTTCAGCTCTAGGGGTGTCCCCTCCATGCTGTGGGGACAAGCCTGGCTACCGTTCATTAAGCATCCCCTCTATTGCACCCTGTGCCTAGGGGATGTCTCAATATCACCACCAATAGCATTGCCCCTGCCCCTGATGTGCCATCACTGCCATGCTGCCTGGACAGGAAGGGCCCAGGCCTGGATCCAGCCCAAGCCCAGGAGGAGCAAGGATGCATCAGCCCTGTGGGTGGGGGGGAGCAGTCCCAGCTGTCCTCAGGGACATCTTGAAGACGGCGGCCTGTGCACCTACTCGGGCGTTCTGCAGGTCTTTCCTGGACACTTACTATACACCAGGCTGTTTGGTGACTAAAGAAAACAAACTTCCACCCCATGCTGCCTGCCTGGGGCTCTGAGAAGACTCATCTTCCTCCCAGGGATGGCCCTCCCCAGGCCTAGTCAAGGAGAGAAGAACGAGTGTGGAGTGTGGAGCGGTCCCCCATGAGCTGGCTGGGATTCTCTTGTGCTGTCTGTGGAGGTCACGAGTAGGGGAGCAGCAATTCCAGTGCTGCTGTCCTGGGCCCTTGCTGAGGCTCCTGGGCTGGGCTGCCAAACCCAGGGCCTCCGGCTCCAAGGCCCGAGAACTAAGATGGGGCTCCAGGCCTTCAAAGCCAGACTTACAGCCCTAGGCACACGGAAGGGAGGCGCCTATAAATAACACCAGCAGGTGCAGTGCTGCTAGCGTTACAGCTCCTGGGCAGGCCTTGGGTACTGGGACCCTCAGCTTCTTCAGCAGCTCCTCGGCCATCTGGGATCCTTGGCCAGTAGGGCTTGGCAGCTGCCCAGTAACTTCCAGCAAACTGGATGTCATCTCTGCTCTTCATGGCCTTCTAGCTTCCTTCAGCCTCAGGCCTACTGCTGTCCTTGTTATCTTGCTACCTGTCCTGCACACGATCTCATTGCCACAGCTCAGGCCAGCCTATGAAGGATGAAGATGAAAAGCAGGCAAGACCACTGGAGGGAAGCCTTTAATCCTGCTTATATAGGCAGGAGGGGGGTGTGGCAAAGGTGTTTGCACCAATCAGGGCAAATCTTCATACAAATGAAAGGCTGTGCTTGCACCAATCACAAGTCCTCTGCTAAGCCACAGGGAAGTGCTCTTCCTTTGACCAGGGTGAAAATAGCTGGTAGAATTCTTTGAAGCTATATAGCAGGGAGGAGGACCAGAAGAGAAACAGGCTGTGTTCTGATAATGAGAAGGTGGAAGGGATGGCACAGCAGAGAGATAAAACTTACATAATTGAAACATGAAGGTCACATAGCACTGGGGGAATGAAATAGCCAATGGAGTCACATGCAACCACGTGGGTTAAGCTTTGCTTTTTGCTTCTGCAACCTGCCTGCAAGGGTATATAAGGTGAGACCTCTTTGTTCTTGAGGCTCAGACTTTGGACACGAATCTACTGAGTCTGTGTTGGCACAATAAAGTGTTGCTTCCTGCTAAACTGCCTCAGTGTCCCATATCTCAGCTTGAGATTCCTGCAATATTTCTTGGGGGCTTGTTTGCTGGGATTGTGGCAATGGTGATTTGTCATCTCCCTTTTCACCGGGATGCTTCTCCTGGACTACCAGAAGAAGATCCCACCAGGCAGCAATGGACAGCTTGATCCAGAGGAGGGACTCACCCTCCCAGAGAGTTGGGGTGAAGGCCTTGATGCACAAAGGAACTGGGTGAGGCACAGGAACCAGCCAGGGGAGGGAAGCACTGCCTGTCAGACTGGTAAGTACCCAGGTTCAAATTCAGGCCTATTTCAGGAGGCAGAAGGGGAGACTGATCACCACCCAGAGATCACTAGTAACCGCCTTTTGGGGTGAAACCGTGTCTCTCAGGTTTAGGTAGAAGGGTGGAAGTACTGTGCTGTGTGAAAGTGTGTGAAAGTGCAAAGTGAATGAGAAGTCCTGATCCTCGGGTCTGTGTCAAACCCGTAAGGTCAAGGGTGAGCCCCAACAGGGCCTCTGGTCCGGGGTTTATAGGGCCAAGAGATGCCTAAATCCCCACGAGGGGAGCAGTCAGAGATGGATGAAGTGAGTGTTCTTCCAAAACCCCTCCCTCTCTGTGTCTGTCTTGATGTCTGGTAATGGGAGGAAAAACACTCCCTTAGAGTATATGGTTAAAAACTTTAAAAAGGGATTTAATGGAGACTGTGGAGTTACGTTTACTTCTAACAAGCTTAAGGCCCTTTGTGAAGTAGATTGGCCTGCTTTTGGTGTACAGTGACCCCCAGAAGGGTCACTAGGTAAAACTGTGGTTAATGAAGTTTATAGAGTAATTCTAGGGAAGTCTGGGCACCCAGATCAGTTTCCCTATATTGACTGCTGGCAGGGTGCTGTCCTCAGCCAGCCCACATGGCTAAGGCCCTGTCTGGAAGAGGCCTGTAGGACTATGGTAGCCAGGGTGGCTGTAACTTCCAAGTGTAGAGAGAAAACAAAGGAGCCTGTACTGGCCAAGGAACCCGAGGAAGTTCCACCACCCTATGTGCTGCTTTACCCACCTCTGCCACCAGTGCCCAGTTCCACACCCTCACCTTCAACATTGGATGGGGAAGCCCGAGGGACAGTCACACCTGTAAAATCTGGTCTGGAAGCCTCTGGGGCCTCAACTGCCCTGACCTCACTGAGTCCTGTGGACCCCATGTCCACTCCAACTCTGCTAGTGCTCACCCCCCATCCCGCACTCGATCAGGAACATCTAGCCAGTCTCCTCAGACTCCCACTGCCCTGT